TTCACCGAGCAGGGCGCTGATCATCTGGAGAGGGCCCATACCACGGGGAGCATCTCCATGTCTCCTGAGCTGTTTGAGCAGCTGTACTTGGCGCCTCATAGTCGAGTGAAGGGTGATTTGCGGCAGAAGTTGGGCAATCCGACGCCGTTGGGTAAGGTACTATTGCGTTTTTCGCTTGCAATTCACTGACGCGACGATTAGCTTTGGGTGGTTTCCTGCTCTGCACGACTCCTGCTTCCATGGCGCTGCTTGGATGGCGAGGTTCAGGAGGTTTTGGAGCTGGTGCAAATGTGTAAGTTTCACCGACATCCTTCCAACATCGTTGTTCTAATAATTATATAGCGGCGCTTACTTCTGGTTCGGCGGTCTTCTCATGCTTCTCGGTAGCATCGGCGAATGGGTACAGTCACCTCACCCCTCGAGCGAACTCTACAAAACAGCCTTCTAACAAACACAAGATTCTGGGAAATACCTTCCCCTCGGTCCTGTTCGGTCTCTTCGGTGGTTTCTGGTTCACCTTTGGTTCAACCATTGTCCCAGACTATAATGCCTACGGCCTCTACTCCAAAACTGATGTTGTTGCGGACGGCCTGAAGGAAGGGGAATTCTATTCGACCTTCTCGTTCTTCCTCATCTCGATGGGAATCCTCTGCGCCGTCTTCGCCGTCGCCAGTATCCGAACGAATGTGGTGTTGTTTACTATCCTCGTTATCCTGGTTCCTTGCTGTAAGCTCCCCGACACTCTTGCTACGCATTTTATCGCTGACAGTTTCTCACTACAGTCGGCTGCCTCTCTGCCTCCTTCTTCGCTGTTGCAAATGGCGAGTCTGCTAAAGCGCTCACATACCAACACGCTGGTGCTGCGATACTTTTCGTTGTATCGCTGTTGGGCTGGTACATCTTCCTGAGCCATATCCTCCTGTCGGTCGATTTCCCGTATATTCTCCCTCTGGGCGATCTCTCTTCCAGAATCCCTGGTGCCACCAAGGTCAAGAAGAATACACACTCAGAGGAGGAGAAGGTCTAAGGGTTTGTTGGTATTCAGGTAGCATAGCGGCTTTTACGATGGCTCTTTGACTGGGTCTAAACTTGGAGGATGCTGAATCATGGGCGACGATGGAAAGGACAAAATTGGAGGAGGCATTAGCAATAGTCTAACACATACAAAATTGACACAACTGCTGGAATACACCCGGTAGTAAATAGTGGCCAAGGATAAAGGTTGCTTATCATTTATTTGATACCGTAACTGCTCAAGAAGGTTCACCTTATGTTACATGACAGTCGCACCATTCGAGCCAGTGTAGTATTACAAGTAAAACCCCAGGGTCAGGATTGAGTTTAATGCTACGGTTCTCTGCTCAAAGAACAAAAGACAGTTGCACTGTATCGTCACATTTATTCTCAAATGCTGGTCACGGACAAACGGTATCAGTTCCGACAGTTTGTTTGCGTGATCCACCCCCATCCCATTCCCCGCAAGCTCTGGGGTACGCCCAGTCCACTAAACCAACCAACTAACCAATAACACTCACAACAATTGCAGAGGCTTCCACTAAAGATGTCGTTGACTCGTAAACGGGCTAGCGCCGTGCGGGGAAAGAGGGCAGGTCGGTGGAACGGCCCTGAATATCTATGGACCAGTTTCTCTCATCTTGTTTCTTTCCTCTATTCTTTCTCCACTGACACTCGACTCGCACTATCTATACCCAAGCTGTTGGTATCTTAGCTTTGCTAGACCCTCTTTTATTACCCTGGTAGGAAACGTCTGTTCTCAAGTGCAGCATGTCGGAACCGAAAGTTAGGAGGCAAAACCACTCCTGCGACCACTGCAGGAAGAGCAAGAAGGCGTGCGATGGGTATATTCGCAATGAGAAGTCGGCAGTTTCACCTGATGCAACGTCGCCCACTTCTGGGTCGCAAATCTGTAAGTTCTAGCCATGCATACTACCCCCCTATAGACGCTAGGGATTGACCATGTCGCTTTGTTAGATGGAGGATCATCGGAACCAGGACTCAAGTCCTGCTCGTACTGTATCAGAACCAAAAAAGTATGCAGTCTAAACCCACAGTGGGGAAAGACTCGATCAAGGTCTCGAGTTAGTGAGACAGGGTCAAGCATCACCAGCACCTCCAACGACAGCTCTCAGAGCAAGAGGAAGCGCAATGAGTCTCCTGCCACTACCACTGCCCCTTCTGTTAACGCAAAGTACTGCGACATCACCGCAGCAAACATGTTGCAGATGATTCAGGACTCTACGCCTGGGCAAGGTCTATCCTGGAATAACCCTTTCAGCACAGACATCCCTCCCTTTCTCTCCATGGATCCAGCCCTCGATGCCCAGAGTCTTGCAATGAGCTTCTCTAGTCCAGAGAGTGCTTCGCAGACATTAGCACAGGACAATATCGATGAAGGATTGCCTGAACTCACAAAGCAAACTTCCCATGCTGCCACTGACGTCTTGGACAACGCGACATCCTATTCAGGCTCACAAGAGTTTGACATCAACAATCTCTGGGACTTGGACTTCTCAGAAATTAACTCTGCACCTCTAGAGACATTATCATCAATGGAGTCTCCGGCCTATGGACACAAAGCTGTTCAGGTGAAACGAAGAGCACGCCTGCCCTCTAACGATTGGTCTGGCTATCCCAACTTCTCGCCATCGCCATTCACTAGCGACTCTCTCATCATGCAAACCTCTAATCGATATATGATCACCGAGAGTCTTCTTCAGATATATCATGACGTCCTTGAGAATAACCTTGCATGTTGGCTAGCGGAAGAGAATTGCCCATATAAGCTACAAGTTGTCGCTCGCACTAGTCCAACACCAGAACCCAAACTAGGTGCAACTTCAGGATCGTCTCGTCAGAACCCGAATCTTCCGCCAGAATGGGGCGCTGCTTGGTCGAACAGGATGTATCGTCGCGTCGTGGAACTAGATCGAGCCGCCCAGTCAGCGAGGTTGATCAACCTCACACGTTCTGAAAGCCAAGCTGCATCTCGAGTACTGGACCTAGTCATAATGGCCTTCACAACACAATGGGCCCAGGGAAACCGTCGACAAGAACGGTTCTCTATGGGAGCGAGTGACTTTGCCACTGAAGCAGATGACCTAGCCGACGCTCTGAATCAAGAGTTTGAGGAGAGTTTACAGCAATCGGTATGGGAGCAAGCAAAGAGGGCACTTCAAGATGTTGTTGATGTTGAGTCTTATCGTGTTATCTACGCCGAACTCATCTTTGGTCTGACACAAAAGCCCTGGGCTAGTGACGAGTACCAACAGAGGTCGTTTGGATCTAAGAAAGGAAAAAGTGGCAAGGGCATCAAAGAGAACGCGATGCCAGAGATTATCGAGATTATGTCTCAGGAAGGACCTCATATCTATTTGGAGCGGGCAACGAGGAAGATTCACGCTCTCAAGTTCAGGTTTGAAGCTAGTGAATCTGGCTTCATGGAAACGAGTAAAAAGCACGCTCCTCGGCGATTAACGGAAGAGAACAGGCGGACCATCGGGCTACTCTACTGGCTCGCTGTCATGTTTGATACAGTCTCTTCATCGATGAATGAACGACCGGTTGCACTAGCCGATGAAGACTGTCAACATGAAGATGCAGACCAAATACTGGCAGACAGTATGCGGGCAGCTCAGAAGAGTCGACGAGGAAGTCAGCGATGGGAAATGGAACTGTTCATCCAAGATGATGCAACGAAACCAACAGTTGGAACACGATGGCCATGCTCATATGATGATGCGATGCAAATGGTTGCCAAGTCAGCACCTGTCAAGATTCTTATCTACCGACACTTGTCGTATCTTCAAAACGCGCTGCGAAAACGAGAATGTGCCCAGGCAATCGAGGAGATTATTCAGCAAACGACTCTACTATACCGGTACTGGAACATGACCCACGGTGCCTTCTTTCGAGATCTCATCAGACACTATGATACAGTCCCGCCCCGGATTAGAAGCTGGTTCTTCTGCATCGCAGTCCCGTGGCATCTCGGCGCATTAATGCTCGCAGACGTTCTTGAGTTCATCGACAAGAACAACTATGGTCTCGATCAAGCCCGTCAAAAGCGACTAAGCGGCAACGTCGCAGCACGAATACGCAAAGCCAGCGCCATCGAACTCGCAGACCTTGCACAAGTAACGACACCGCGACTGTTTCAAGAAGCTGGTATAAATGCCGCGCAACTTCCAGACTACCATTTCGCTGTTAGTGAGGGACCGTTACTGACCGAGCCTTGGACTGTGATACTTATCAGAGGGTTTACGAAAGCGTGTTTATTTCATTTGGACATGGCGGATGATTTTCAGCAGCATGAGGGGGATCTTTTGGGGCATGATAGTGAGGACTTTCAGGATAGTTTGAGGAGGGCGGAGTATTGTATTAGGGCGCTTTGGTGTCTGGGGAAGAAATCGGAGATGTCAAGGAATATTACCAAGGTTTTGGTTGGGGCGTTACAGGAGCTACAGTTATAATCGTCTGAACATTTAGGTTTGCCGGGATGTTGTTAGGCACAGCGAGAATTGAAGCTTTTGACAGTCAGGTCCGGATACCGGGACCCAGAGCCTTGTTTCTCCCAACCCAGCGATTGTGACTGTTAAGAATGTTGAGGCGAGCGGCATGAGGATTGAAGTGATAGGCCCTGCTGGCTGATGCGTTGTACCAATCGCGAGCGAGGCCAAGACGCATTTACATTGAAGTTCCCACCGAACTTACAGCAATTGGCTGAAATCTTTGTGATGATACACGAGCTGAAAACAGGATTGTTACACAGGCGCCTAAAAACGTTCACCCACAGGAGACATTGCCCCGCAGACGCAAGTCAGATCATGTCATATAAAGGCTGCTGGATAATCACTCAATGTGCCCCCAGGTAGTTCATCTCAATTATTGTTCCCTGTCATATTATAAACCTCGTGGGGTCACGAAGCTGGCAACTGAAAATATCAGACGAGTTCCAAGACAACCAATCGATCGAGGACACAATGAATAGTGAGCTTGGCCCGAGACCAGCTTCACAGGCAGGAACGGCACCCGAAGCGCACAATGATACGGCTGATTTGGGTCTTCCACGAGCCGACATTGACAATGGTAACGACCAAACCGGTCCTATAACATCACAGGAGCCTGGTACTAAAGGCCAAGGTGCACAATCATCTCCCAATGAAAGCTGTGTTCCTGGGCGCCTAGGGCAGGAAGCAGAGGGTGATACGGAACCCCGGAATCACTCGGATCAGGGGGGTGTGGACGGAAATGTGCACCTGGCCGACCTAAATGATGGAATCCTCCTCTCTAAAATCAAAGACCTCCTACTGTCCAGATTATATCGTGTCAGCCCAGATCGTGCTGGGTTAGTGGCCAATGTTAATACGTTTGGCGACGATAGCGACGATAGCGACGAAATTCCAGAACCATTTTGGTGGCGCGACAATGACATTGGCCATGCTTGGCCTTCAAGTCGGAATGTCGCAGGGGTAGTGCAATATATAATCGAACAGGATGGCAGCACGCCCAAACCCAAAGTTCGCAGGTCATCACGTTGGTGGTCGAGACAGATTCAAAACACACCGTACGATGTAATTGAAAGCGTATGGCGTGACTGGTGTTGCACGGCCAGACACGAGCTACAGCAGGTGCGTTTTATACGACCCTACTGCTGCATATGGACTGACTGAAACAGGAAGTGCCTGGCACGGTTGATAACTGGTACTCAGATTTGGGACATAGGTCGAGGCATAGGTTCAAAGGCAAGATTATGTAAGTAAGGCTGCCTTATACGTAGCATTTGTTGGCTGAGCCTTTTTGCTAGTTACTGTGCGTCGGATACGTCCCGAAAGGGAGTCCAAGACTTCCCCATATCCCTTCTTGCTTGCGCGTTAAGCTTTGAGGAGCCCTTCCGATTTTCAAGCCTTGAAAAAGATGACTTGGATGTGGGAAAATCCACATCATTTCTTTCGACAAGCTTTCAAGGTGGATACAGCGTGCGAACCAACCATGATTTACACAATGCTATCCATTGGCAAATCCGCTATTTCAGCCCCATTCACCAGATCCGAAACAATGCAATAAGAAGTCTGTTTAGTAAGCGGCAAACAGTGACGTTGCAACACGGGTCAGGGGAAACTATTTTACAGGAAAAGCGAGTTGTGGTAAGCTTTCGAGTCCTGAGGGAAGCCCCGGAACTCTTCAGCATACTCGTCTTGAAGGATGAGGACATATCTCCAGATACGCATAATCCTGATCAACAATTTGATTCTGAACGGTTCTGGAAAGGCTATGGGGCCACTGACCCGGACTACATATTTCCCTTCACGTATTTTCTGCTCGAAATATGCAGAGTGTTCAAGACGTGTATGGATGCTTGGGAGGACACCCTAAGGACCATAGATAAGCTTGTCCTTGTCAAGGTACATTGGAAGATACATTAGCCTCTCCCTTCTTGACGAAACCTACTGACCTGCTTGATAGTTAGAAGACTTGGATAATCTGGAAAGGGTGGAGGAGCTTATGTTTGATAATTCTTTTAACCGTTCCAGGGACTACTTTGTTGCCCTCCAGATTCTGAGAATCATCGACGGGTGGTTAGATGAGGTTCAGTCAACTGTCGAAGACATGTCCAAAGATCATGTTTTATTAAAGGCAGCTCTGGGGGGGAATGACGCGATATCAGGTGAATCTTTCGAGGTCGCCGTTCGTTATGTGAGCGAACATGCTACCGCAACTAAGAGTCGGGTTCGAAAGAAAAATGAGGAGATCAACAGTCTTCGGGATGGCGTAAGTCCATGTCACCCATTTCTAGTACAGGGTGTTGCTAATACTCTTTTTACAGCTGTTCAACGCCACATCTCTTCGAGAGTCTACTAAGGCCATGGCGTTAAACCAGGCAATTTACGTCTTCACCGTTGTTACGGTACTATTCACCCCAGTGAGCTTCTTAGCGGTAGGTGAAGCACAGGATAGTAGCTTAATATCACAGCTAACAAGCTAGACGTTTTGGGCCTTGCCGTTTTTGAACAACCCAGCAGAGGGCAGTGGTACTATACCAGAGCCTTCAGCCTTTCGCAACAGCTTTATCATCATGCCTATCCTCACCTACGCCCTGGTCATTGGTGTCGCCTGGTTCGTGGGAAAACGAAACAGTGTCCGTGCACTATTGGATCTCCTGGGAGAATATTGGGAAAAATCGCGGTCGCTCATGAGATCTGCATGGAGCTCGCGTCCAGAACTGCCTTGGTGATACAGGGGTAGTTCTCCTAACCCTGAGGCTTGATGTGAGTTCGGTAAGCATCAAAAATCAATGATGGATTGAAATGTAGTATTGCTGTCATATAGTTCAATGCCAAATTGTATCGGTATCTTGATCTACCTGTTTTCGATCGCGAGCGCGACTCTGACTATTTCATGCACCCCACCTTATCTAAATAGAGAAAACCCACGTTCCTCGTGATAAAACTCCCCGGTGACCTCAGCAATGTTGAACTGAGAAACCTGCAACGTCGATGAAAGCGATAACAGACTCATGGGCTTGTTGTCTGACATGATATTCGAGACTTTGTCTGGAATTCGCAGGATATGTAGAGAAGGGAATTTCCCAGTATGGCTAGACTCGTGTTGATCTTGGAGCTTCTTGTATGCCTCTTTAAGAGCTCGCTCCTGGCCATCCTTCTCACCGATCGCATACACCAAAGCTCCTTGGATTTGCTGCGCCAGGTAGATATTTGGCTGAAGCTGGCTGTGATCAACAGTCTTGGTGTTCTTGGCCTCGACGATATAAGTAGTTCCGTCTTCGTTATAGACCATGTCTAGCTCTCGGTACTTGTTGCCCTGCAAGGGAACAGTGATCATTTGCGAGCTACCATTCAAACCCTCCCGCTTCTCCGAATCAGTGAGGGGTCTTGAGATCTGGCTGCCATGCATGATCTTGTAGTCCTGGACGAGCTTGTATGCCGTGAATATCTCATGGTACAAGCCTCTATCAAGCTTGCCGCCCGCGCGAGATGAAAGGCCTGCATTGAAAATGTCGATCATGATATTGATACGAGCCCGCGGATCCTCTTCGGTTGGATGAACGCTGGGATAGACGATTGCTGAATTATGGCTCGACATGCTGATGAAAAGGTGATGAGAGGGCTTGAACTTGAGGCTGAAATGAGGGGCAGTCACTCCTCTTTATACAGGCTCGTGCAGAAAGCTGGATGTATCTAAGACCAATCATATCATCGCTTCACGTGAAAGATGCATGTTGCTGCCTAACCAGACAACTCGATGTCTCAACAGTGAGATCAGTGTGTTATTTTCAATTGAAGCCCAGTACGGTTAGCTTATAGTCAGCATATAGAACGTCTTAGATACAGTAACCACTATTAGCTATTAGTGGTGTGTCTTATAGATAATAATGATATTTCAAGGCTGCCTGCTGCGCGTCATAAATAGTTAAATTCTAGTATAATCCACAGCTCAATATCGGCACTAAAGTTAAAGGCCTTAATAACCCTGGTTATAAGTCTGATAGAGTTCTCAGCCGTACCCCTTTTACTAGGGCCTCCCGAAGATAGGCTATAAGACTACTTCAAGGACCATGCCTAACACTCTATTCCATCACCCAATGCGACACTTGTAAGGTAGCGAATTGCGAGTATGAGTCCACCTCAGATAGTGACTCTTGTCATGCGCCGAGGTAGCGTATCTTGATCACTTTAGCCCGCGAGTACGCCACCGTACCAGATGCTTAGTTGTTCCGATGTACACATTACCAAAGAGGGTTTCATCACTCAAAGTGGGAGAGCATCGATGTGTGACTCGAGCTTTATGATAGAGTCAAGGCATTCAATGCTCTGTCCATGAGGATGCGAATGCTGGCCATGGAGAGAATTGCCTTTATCAACAATGGCTGTAACTCTTGTTGAATGAGTAAGGCCACGCAAAAGCAATATTCAACTGCTCACAACTGGGGAAGCCGAGCCCACGATCAAATCTAGGATGGAGCCGTACACGGAGATCGAGAATTTGGCGGCCGCCTAGGGAATTAAACTTTTCGTATAATTGTACGTTTTCAATCGTCACCTTATGAACACGCAATAATTTGGTGTTGACTCGGTTTACGAACGCTACTCCGCAGCTACGCATCAAGCTGTGCTGTCAAACCGCCGGTCAAGTCTTATCATAGCCACCCTAGACCCAAGCCATCCGTGGACCCCATCCCATGTCCGAGTCCTTCAATCTAAAGCCGAGCCCCACAGTTCTCAGGCCGAAGCCACTAATTTTCAAGCCGAGCCTTCAAGCCGAGAGGTCTACAACCACCAACCGTTGTAGTAACCCTGCAATCAGTCATCCATCCATTGTAAAGCAGGCTCGGACCGAGCTTTTTGCAAAGTCCCAAACAAAAGTTCCATCTACGAAATGTGAGTATTTATATTCAGGAGCCTATCCAGGGATATAACTGCAAAAGAGGAGAAAGAAACCGAGAGAAAAAAGCACAATCTCGGATCTCTTCTGAGTCCCAGATACATCTCATTATTTTACTATCTCTCAGGATCGCTTCATATCTACCTATCTTGTTCATAACATACTCAGTTGCTGTGATGAATATCCAGCAGAACAAGAAAGCTCCAGTCGACCGAGTCACTCCAGATAAAAATGAACTCGAATCAGGCAGTGCCCAACCAAATAAGTCAGAGGCGGAATCGCTACTGGTAGTTTACCCATACAATCCGGGATGCGCGTTGCATACGCTAATCAAGCCAACATGGCTGTTTAGGTAACTTGGGACGGAGACAGCGATCCAGGGCACCCATACAACTGGTCTCGGCCACGCAAATGGGCCATCACTCTATTGCTCTCTGGTGGCGGCTTGGTCACTCTCATGTCGGGAGCCATGCTTGCACCAGCTCTCGAGACAATCTCCCATGATCTGGACACCGGCGCGGAGGAGACACAGATCTTCCTATCAATATTCGTTCTCGCATTCGCCTTTGGACCCATGATACTCTCTCCGCTCGCTGAAGTATTTGGTCGGCGGCCAACGTGGATGGCCTCTAGCTGCTTCTATATCCTCTGGAACACTGTCGCGGGTTTCAGTAAGTCAAGCGGTCTGTTGATTGCAAGCCGTCTTCTCTCAGGTCTTGGGGCAAGCGCAGAGTTTGCTGTGACGAACCCGGTTCTATCGGACATGTGGCGGGCGGATGAAAGAGGCACCTCATTCGCTATCTCGACCTTTATCCCGCTCCTAGGTCCTGCACTTGGGCCTATCATCGGGGGTGCGGTCACACAGACTGTGGGCTGGCGCTGGACCTTCTGGGTGCTCTCCATCTTCGATGGAATCTTGGTCGTCATCGCTCTGATCGTGTTCGATGAGACCTATGAGGTTGTTCTGCTGGAGAGGAGAGCTGCCGGCTTGCGTAAGGAGACCGGCAGGGCTTACTACACAGAGTATATGACTGCTTCAGAACGAAGTCTTCGTCCAGTTCTGCTCAGGGCACTCAGTCGCCCGTTCCGTCTCCTCTCCACGCAGCCCATATTACAAGTCATTGCGATATTCCTGGCCTACAATTTTGGAATCCTCTATATCGTTCTCTCCACGTTTGCGACTCTGTGGATTGAGCGATACGGCCAGTCAGAATGGGAGAGTGGCTTGCATTACTTCGCCCTAGTAACAGGCTACACAGTAGCAGCACAGGGCGGTGCCATTATCATGGACAAGCTTTGGGGATATCTCAAGAAGAAGGCTGGCGACGACACGGCACCTGAGTATCGCGTTCCTCTAATGCTACCAGGAGCTATCCTTATCCCTCTCGGTCTGTTCCTCTATGGCTGGTCGGCAGACAAGCATACTACTTGGATCCTGCCAGACATCGGTATCGCCATCTTTGGTTGTGGTATCATCCTCAATACGCAGGCTCTACAAGCATATGTTATGGATGCTTTCCGTAAATATGTCGCCTCCGCAAGTGCAGCCTCGCAGTTTCTTCGTAGCATTGCAGGGTTTGCCTTTCCTATTTTTGCCCCAGTAATGTATCAGAGACTTGATTATGGCTGGGGAAATAGCCTGCTTGCCTTGTTGTTCATCGTACTGGGCTGGCCGGCACCGTTCCTGCTGTGGAGGTACGGTGCAACTCTTCGAGCCAAAGGCACGCCGCAATGGTAAATTGGTTAGTTCCAGGTGGTCTAATTTCCGAGAACAGTCTGGAGTGCAACACACTCCTTGTTTGCGGGGAAAGGAAACGGCTGATGTAGTGGCTTGGAGGGCTGTAGGAGCAGGCTTCTGGGATGCTTGGCAGATCGATAGTGTGACCAAGGTTAGCTCGAATACCAGTCAAACATATTCCGGTTGTCAATCCTTGTTTTTTTTATACAAAAAATCTTTTTTAGCACTTAATCCGATCTGAAACTTCGATCGGTGGCCTCGGTTGCGGGAAGTCCGCCTGAAGCTCACGCGCTAGCCGCATATTCTCTACAAATCTCAGCACAACCATTGGTTATTGTGGCAATTTTCAGGTCTTAGCAGTATGGCAAATCAAGATTATTGATAGAAATGCTACACGACGGCTCTGACTGGCATGCTTTCGACCTCGAAATGTCTTTGTAATCGGGCCGTTGTATCGATCGATTGTAGGTCCAGGACACCAACCACCGTCTGCCGTGTCTCAAAGCTCAAGATCCCGATCGCAAAATTGCGATGGATCGGGAACATAAATAACTCGTGCTGAAGAAGATGTCTTGGTTACTAGCCAATTGCGTTTATTTTATACGCAGCTTTGGGATAAGCTTAAACTGTGGAAGGAAGACAGCGTTTTTTGTTACCGAGTTCAGCCTTGCCCTCTCCTGTACGCGGCGGCTGCGGTCTAGCCCCTGCTTGCCATTCAGACAACGCCAGCCTGATGAAGGAACTGTTCAAATGCGGCAATATTCTCGAGTATAAAGTTTTCGTAACTTGCTCTTGTCCTCATCGCACTTTGCATCATCAATCACCAACTTTGACTTTCATCTACTTGCCTACACCCAGTCTCCTTGATTTTACCCGCTTTAAACATTTTGCGTCCTAATATTCCGTCATCATGCATTTCATGACTACAATCACAGTCTTTACTTCCGCTGTTGCCGCTTTCAGCCTCAAAGGCTGGAGAAAGCCTCAGGTTGCACAGCTCAAGGTCTCTGAAGCTCAAGAAATCTGCGGGCAGGACACAAGTGTCCGGTGTTGCAACAACAAGGGCGGCAATGGGAACAACAACAACCAAGGCGGATTCTTGGGTCTTTCCTCCACGAATCTGAACATCTTCAACAACTGCGTCGACATCAGCCTGAACGTTGTAGGAATTCTTGATGGTACTCTTGGTAGGAAGTGTAGTGGCAATGTGGTTTGCTGCCGGGACTTCCCATTTGCTGTAAGAAAGCAACCCTTGAGTTTCAGCTGGTTTACTAATGCATCGCAGGATATCACCGGCCCCATCAACGACGGACGACCCTGCATTGAATTAAGCAACCTGCTTTAAGCTTCTCTGGCTTGGAATAAGCCGATAGCTAGTTATCCAAGGTAGTAGTGAGGGAAGAGGTCAGATCTCATCAATAATGTCTAAATGCTCTGGTTAGCTTAGAATACATAACCTTTGATGGAGATGCCCAAATCCATCGCTTCGTATGCTGCGTGATGTCAGTACCTATTTGAAAGCCGCCACCTTCAGAACCTTCAAGTCAAAAACTTTATAATGAAATGAAAGCTTGAATTGTGGAGAACAAACAACCTTCATCTCTGTTGCTTATCTTATCGGCACAAAGGATTGTTCCTTCCTTTGTAGTTCCTTCTCTACCCAATACTCAGTCCATACAATAATAATTTCGATTTCCTGCGCAACGATTCCTTCTCTCCTCTTCAACATCGCATCACCACCAGCCACCATGAGCTCGCCTGCCGACCATCTCCCTCTCCCTCTGCCCGAGAATGCTATCAACGCTCTCTTGGAGACCTTGCGCCTGCCTCTAGCCACATCGATCAGCAACCCCAAAACGATGGCTCAATATCATTCAGTCTACTTCCTCACTCTGCCGCCTACCGAGCTCTCACGCGGCTACTCCGAACTCATTCTTCGCGTCGCAGGCAACCATATCCCCAAGATCAAGACTATGAATGAGATTGGTGTCATGACCTGGGTATCCAAGAACACCACGATCCCATTACCCGAAGTCATAGCCTACGATGCCTCCACGAGGAACCCGATTGCTCACGAGTACACCTTGTTCTCGCGCATCCCGGGAGTCACGCTCAGCGACATCTACGGTAGCCTGAGCGACAAGCAACAAAACGACATCCTTGACCAGCTCATGGATTTCCTCACCCAGCTGCAAGCGCACAAGTTCGATGGCCTCGGAGGTTTGATCGTCGACGATCAGGGCGCGGTTCATATTGGCCCAGTTGTGGACGAGACCTTTTGGCAGGTTGCAGATATCGAGGCTTTCTGGGGTCTCTTCGAGACCGTAGAGTCTCTCAACATTGGAGGGCCGTACGATACCTACAGCGACTACATGTCTGCTCACGTCATGAAGTATATCCGACTCATTCGCACCCATCCATCGTTGGAGTTCATGCGCGATATCATTCCTCACATCTACGGTTTCCTCACCGCTATCCGAAGACACAGCGACGCGGTCAACAACATCAAGCATCGCCTCGCTCACAAAAACTTGCACTTTGCCAACATGATGTACGACCCCTCGACTGGCAAGATCACTGGGGTCCTTGACTGGGAGTTCGCCGGCGTCGTCCCAAGCCCTCAATGGAACCCTCGACGCTCGTTCCTTTGGAACGGAACTGACACACCCGAATCCCTAGCGGAAAAGTACAAGTTGATGGAAGTCTTCGAGAAGCGTTGCAAGGAGAAAGGCTGCACGTTCTTTGAAGATGCTCAATACACTTCAACACTTCAGGAGCACATGCAGGGCGCAGCCGACTTCTTGCGGGCTATTGTGGAGGTGTCCCCAAGAGGACAGAGGCAGGATCTGGTATTGGGTTGGAAGCTCAAAGTGCTGGAGAATATTTCCAAGTTTGAGGCCTAGTTTAGTGAGTATCATTCTAGGTTCTGCGCATGTCCTCAGCATCGTTGGTTAGAAAAGTCTGCATGTCAACTCCAAAAACAAGTCTTTCGAACTCAGATTCCGTCCCAAAGGTCCCTAGTATACCCTCAAATGACAGGTCCAAAGCCCCAAAGCGATTCAAGTCCATGTCTTGAACCGCGTCAGCTGTGGTGATATTACTGTGCATCGCCATATGAGCTTCGACCGGCATGTTCAGCCGTTGGTGGAGTGTCCGTATCACGTCAGCCGCACTTGAAGCTGTTCCAAAGAACTCGCTCATCTTTTCTAGCACCGTAATACTTTGCGATAAAGCCGTGCGGGCTATTGTAGCAGTTTGACTGTCTTGAGGGTATGCCAGAAGATATCCGACTAGTGTTATAGCAGCGTTCCATTGACAGTTGAACGGCTCGTACCACCCATTCAAAATTTCGTATTCTTGGTAAACCTGATGTAGAAGTTTCGTCGTCGCGCATGCGTGTATAGCTGAGATATCTGCCACTTCACATGATGCGGATGTCTGTGTATTTCCAGCACGAGTCAAGGGCCGGCTCATACAAGGCCGTCCGAGCGTGAGCATTAGCTCGTGATAGAACAGCTCAAGCATCAAGCGCTGTCTTCGCAGAGAGATGGGCGCAAACGGTTCAATGTCGATCTCGGAGAGGTCAGTGGAGAGAGACTTCCCACCACCTCGCCTCTCTGTCTTCAGCATATGGGGTAGCGACTCAGCCCAAGCGCGTATTTTATCCATACCAGAAACAAATGCTCTTGATTGTCTATCGGAAGCCGTTCTTGCAGCTTCCCCGCTCGACCGGTGATTAAACGTACTATCGAAGGCTGATCGGGCTATCTCACTGAGTTTAGCTCTCTCAGTGGTGTATGTCAGCTGATCGACGCCAGATGTAACACAGCCTTGGTCGCGTGTAGGTAATAATGGCGAAATCGGCTGTGTTTGGGTGACCCAAGGCCGACCTAATCGAATGCATGATCTTGTCTCAAACATGAACATGATACACCAAGCCCGCTTTCGTGCTTCTCTCTCTTTGACGGGCAGATCATTCCCTGGCTCAATGTGCAGTCCCAATGTGTATGCCGTGCGCGATGCAACTCCCAGCATGTTTTGAGACATGTTCTGGTAAGAAGCATTGGCAAGATAAATCGCAGACCATAGTTGACACTGGAAAGTCTCGAGTGTAGGCCTCTCCAAGTCACACGATATCAGTCGCTGGCACCGCTGATACAACCAGCGGCCCGCAACAGCTGCGTCGCGAGAGTTGATCTCTGCCTTGTAGCCACTATGACGAGGTAGTGATGTGACACCGAACTGCATGCAGAGAGCCAATACTATATCGACAAGAGGTGAGTCCTGTCTTGTGTCACCTATGGGCTCATGCCACAGTGATTTGTAGTGTGCTTTGAAATCTGCCTCGTCCAGAAGCTGGTAACAACAATGCCACGAGTCCCAAAAGAGGTCAAGGAAGAAGGCTTCTTGAGTTGCCGACAAGTCTTTGCCGGACAGAGTTCTCTCAGTCAACCCATGAGCCGCTCTGGTCGACATCGCGTTATCTGAGGTCCGGTGTTCATCTAACTCGGCGTCCAGAGTATCAATGACGTTGACCATCGATCTGCTCGCTGAGTTGGGTATCAAGCTGTGAGGCTCCTGATCGGTGTTCAGGCTGCAGTCATTTGCTTTGAGACGCTGGCTGATACAGTGGATGAAATAGTACGTGGATGAAGGCCCGTAAAACTGAGTCCTTGGGGCTAATGGCTGGATCGTAGTCGCAGTATCGAGTTGAACTCCCTCGTTGGCGTATGAGAAGCTTGGAGACGGATCGTTCGATATGAGTTCCGGAGTATCCTCATCTGGTGGTGTTGGGATGCTTGTATTTTTGATCTGTCCCTCAAGCTCTTTCACTCGTGCTTTCAGCCTCTCGATCTCACTATGATTTGTGTCAGCCGTGAGGTTAAGCTCGGCACAGGGCCCAAGGCATTCATCTTATACCTCATAGCACGAGACAGACTCCATCCTGGGTTCCGCCGAGTCGTGCTATTGCATCGTAAACCCTTGCTAGAGCAATTCTGACATGGGTATTGGGTATCGCATTTGACGCGATGCAGTCGGCATGAATCACAGGCCTTTGATACCTGGCTGCGCTTGGGTTTCCTCGATGGGGCGGATGAGCTGGAAGCAGAGAAGGTCCCAAACATGCTTCCGACACGATTCTAAATTCTATGAAGCTATTCGGAGTGAAATGGAGGGGTTTGTGATATCTGTCAGCACTAATATCCGCCTAAGCCGTTATATCGGAGTTAAACGAAGCTGTCTAAAGCCGATCCTGGTACAAGATGTGGATCAATGTCGTGGGCGATAGCGACGGTGATTGGTTCGGCAGGAGATAAGCTTGAATTTGAGTCTGAGCTTACCCTACCTTCACTACAATTCCTCAATCACTGCGGTAAGTCAACATCAATACAGAGCCGACGGATTTTGCATTTTATGAGATAATATCTACTTGAATATCACTTCAAATTCAACCGCCGTAATTCCTGACACTTCAATATACTCCAAGCGCCTTGGCGATCTCCTCAGCGACGCCCTTGGACGACGCTGGATTCTGACCCGTGATGATCTTCCCATCAACAACAACCTTTTCCGCAAGAGGGCCTTCATCAGCCTTGACGTACAGCCCGCCACTGACCTCGCCCAATCTCTTCTCAAGACTAAAGTCCATATCCTCTGTAAACTTGAACATCTCTTCACCGACGTCATCAAAACCTGTGATCTGCTTGCCCTTCAATATCGACTCCCCCGATGCGGTCGTCGCATTGACGAAGGCAGCTGGTCCGTGACATACAGCAGAGATAACCTTGTCCTGGGAGTGAAAGTCACGGAGGAGGTTCTTTGAGTGCTCATCGTGGACGAGGTCTACCATCGGGCCATGGCCACCGGGGTAGAAAATTGCGTCGAACTCCGAGGCTCGGCCAGCAACGTCGCTGAGCTTGAGAGTGTTCTTCCAAATTGACTCGTGGTTCTCGAGGAAGTCTTTGCAAACAGGATCATCTTTGAAGAGCTCAACGGATACAGGATCAAGTGGAGACTTGCCGCCTTTTGGAGTCGTGTAGATCAGTTCGGCGAGAGGATTGAGGACGTGAAATGGGTGAGCAAGCTCGGGCTGGCTATATTAGTACCGCCCATTTGAAGCCTAAATAAGACAATCTATGGATATGCAGGTAATGATTGAGGGTGTATTGCACTTACCAGATACCATCCGATCTGCTTTGCGGTCTTGGGGACCTTGTCGGCAGAGGTGAGGACTACAAGAATCTTGGGCTTAGAAGTTGTCATTTTGAAGTGAAAAAGTGTGAAATATTTGTTGATACGTGGAATAGATACGACAGAGTTGCTCGGCAGCTATGAAAGTAATCAAGCTTGTGTTGTTATTCACATATCACAGGACGCTGCTCAGGGCTTTTATACTCAACCCTCTACGATAATCGTTCTTAAATATCCCCAAGGAGGAACGGAGTGTAAGATCGACTGGTCAGATTCTATTATGGATATGGCCCGTTTCTCATTGATGACTGGGTTTGTCTCTCATGCTGACTCCGTCGCTCCTTTGGGAAATGCGGACCGACCATGTGACCTCACCGTCCAAGCATCATCGTAAAAAGCCTCAACAGCCCGTCAATCTACTCCAAGAGACACAGGAACTGTGGAGGCGGTTAAGCGCATCGAATGGAGCTCAAGATGTGCACAGAAGGTCATTTCAAACGTTCGAATTTGATCCCAACTTTAAATTGACGAGACTCAATTACTCGTCGGCGGCTTCGGTCTCATGCTCAATGTTATGAGATAGCGTTGACCTTGGACTCTGGAATCCTGCAATGTAATGACTCAATGACCCATTCAAAGCGTTGCTTCTCGTCCAATAGATGTGTTCTTTGGGGTCTTCCGAACTCAAAAGCAAATCCATTATGCTAACATGTACCATGGAGGCGCCTAACTCGTGGCGTGATAGCTTGAGCTGGCGCATCACGCTACGAGACATGGGAGTAAAGTTTTCATAAACATACAGCAAAAGGAGTGTTTACATCGATGCGCGTCAAAGGGGTTGAGTTTAGCCACTGTGATAGGGTTGAGGGGTCAAAAAGAGGCTTCAGCCTCAAGGCCATAAAGGTAAAGAACACCAAAAAAACACATACAGGCGAAATACTCCTCGCCCTCACTGTTGCCTAGGATCTTGCTTTGAGTTTAGCCACAAGATCTAATAAACGTACATAAATCTCCCCCGTCACCCAACGATTGCCCCCTGCTCCATCTTCTTTAAGCCAACATCCAAAAATAACACAAATTCACTGTCTGTGACAAATACAAAAATGGCATTCAGTAGTCAATATTACCCACCTAACCCCTTCACTGCTGAGCGCGTCCAGCAACAGGGTTCAAAAGGCAGCCATCGAGACCCGTTAATTGATCATTATGAAAAAGAAAGGGAAATGATTGAGGCGCTAGCTGAACTTGAGCGCACACTTCCGCCTGTCTATAACCAGATTCCCACGGCCAAACGCAACTGTCATCCTCGGCCTTCTGCCGGAGAACCTCGCCCAAAAGAGAAAATGGAATATCGGAAGACTGAGAACGAGGGTGAAGGGGACAAACCAGCCCGCAAAGGGGACCGCCTCTCTGTTCGAATAGGGTTTTGCTGCATGTGGTATGAGCTCGATTACTCTTGAGGCTCGTCGAGAAAGCACGCAGGGCCACTAAGCAGACGACTTGTATGTATCCTTGAACGAACTGGGGACATTTACTGACCAGCCATTAGAACATCGGCAACACTGTCGGCAATGAAAACACTGTCAATGGAATAGCCATGCACCCCTATGGTTACTAAGTTAAGGTTGAGGAACAAGAAAGGTCGCCTCTGTCAGCATTTGGTCTTGGTGCAGCTACGCCATGATATCACTGTGCTGTCTAAAATGAAGGGCATAATACTCGAAATAAATCACTCATTAATTCGCTTTGCTATATACAATCTACCGCCCAGTCCTTCATCTTCCTCTAACAAACGACGCAAAGTCAAAGTTGTTTGCCATTCCCGCTACTGCAAAGCTACGATGTTTAGCGTGGACTTTTGTGATATCCTGTCCTGTTGTATCAGACCTATCCACGTTGAACTTGCCTGCCAGGGCAGTGCTCTCTTCTGTAGCACATATGTCAGAAATGTTTTGCTGTACCCGTTCAATGGTGACAGCATTAAGTGCCTTTTTGCAGACTTTCTCAGATATTTGAACCATATCTCTGTGCCGCTGTATCTCGGAGGTAAACAATTCTTTGTCGTTTGTCTCACTGGACCCTGATGCCTCTGCCTCGTACTTTACGATCTTCATTTGGTCCTTTTTGACTTCATCGATCTTTCTCTTAAGAGAAGCTTCAAGTGTCGATAGTTTATGATCACGAAGTTCTTTGATCATGCCTTCTTGTCGACTCATTTGGAGACTATAGGGACTCATCGTCAGCTCAGCCTTCGTACTCAGAAGGATATTACTAACGCGTTGTTGGTCACCAGACTGACGTTAAGTATCTTGATACACTGATCCAGCTGATCTTTCATCAATCGTATGCGACCTTGGCGCAAAAGGCCAATCTTTGTATAATCCACAACAGACGTTTCGTCGTCGCTGGAGTGTCTTGTCCAGTGGCCAAGTGATGTGCTGAACTCAGTACATGCGTGTTCGCAGTTGTCAAGAGCCGATTTGAGTTCGGAGCCCAAGTGCTCAGTGTCAATCTGCTTTTGATCCACGGCACACTCGAGCTGGCTCAGGATTGGTTTGAGATGTTGGAGCTGGCGTTGAATGTTTTTGATGGACTCGGGCGCGCTTCTGATATTTTCTATAGTAGTCGAAAGGAAGGCTACACCCTGAACGATGCCCAAGATGGACGCGGTAATACTGACAGGGTCAGGCATGGTGAGGAGAGAACCGTGAGACAGATGTTACAACGTATTTAGTAGGTTTCCGTCTCCCTTATGTACTACATTTTCATTCAAGCACTGAGTTTTACAACCAATTCCGTACAAGGATAAGCGAGATGGTACCATTTCTGAGGGGTTTGTGCTGCATGAGAAGGCACCAGTGTAACACCATCATCAGCTTTGTGGGCACAATCCGTCACAGCCACGGTCACCAGACATGAAAAATTATTCATAACTCACAACATATGAAACAAATCCAAGAATTGGTTCTCGTAGCGAGTCTGTGCGACTCCAGGCCACAAACATGCGCAAATTCGAGGTCCGGATGAGCCGCAATGCGAAGAGTTTTTCTCTGAGAGGATGCAACCAGATTATGGCTACCAAATTTTCAAGTAGTATGGGATTTGAGCCGCAATGTCGACCGAACATCAGAACCCAGACAGTGTTGCTCAGCAAAGGAGCCAGCAAAATCTCCATCATATCTCGGCTAATAACGGATCGTATCTCTTCGCAGGCAATGTCAGTCACGTCAGCCTTCCACATTCTGAAAAGACTGCTCGTTAGTTAAAGGCTTTCATTCTTCTTTATTCTATTGCTTACCAGACCCAGTCAGCTTTGAGGATATAATTAAGAAGTGTCGGGATGCTCTGTTTGTGAGCCATCCTGACGTCGACAGAGCCAGCATCGCCGAGGCGAAGGGCCAGAGAGCACCCGGAACCTGCGAGTGGATCCTAGAGAACTCTCAGTTTCAAACATGGCTTGACAAGAAGACTCCCCTGTTCTGGATATCGGGCGGCCCTGGTACAGGCAAAACGGTCATGTCACTTTTTCTCTCGGAGCAAGTCGAAAAAGCCTGTCAAAGCACGGGTGATAAGCTTTTATTTTATTTCTGCCGATTTCAGCATGAGTATTACAACAAGCCCGGCAACCTTCTGCGAAGCCTCGCTTATCAGTTGCTTAGCTTTAGCACTGATACATCCGCGGTTTTAGAGGTCTTCAGTTACTTGGACACCGAAGAGAAAGCAAAGAATGCGCTGTCTAGCCTGGAGTGTCTGTGGAAGATCTTGGAGATCCTCTTATCGCAGTCTAATCTTTCTACCGTGTACTGCATCATCGACGGAATCGACGAGTGTGGGCTTTCTGATGTCTTGATCAGCAAGTTTCGCGACTACAGTACCTCACCCACTGGGCGCAACGGACCTCTCAGGGTGGCACTCATAGGACGAGATGCCGACATACTTGGCATACCTACTCACACGCAGGGCTCCGAGCTTTCTCTAGCATCCGTGCCAGAGACTACGTCGGTACAAGCAGATGCAATTGATGTATTCTATGGTATCAAGCTCGATCCAGATCATCACGAACGTATCAATGATGATATTGCGACTTTTATCAGGTGGAGTCTACAGCCTCTGCAGAGGATAAAAGGTTTTGATACCATCCGTCCTCAAATCGAACGAAATTTACTCGACAGAGCAGAAGGTACTTTCTTATGGGTTGCTTTCGTCGTCCATGAGCTTTCTAAAAAGAGGACCTGCCTTCAAATTGCAGAAACGGTTAAGGATATACCGGTAGGCCTGTATCCGATATTCGGAAGAATGCTGCACCAGATCGACCCAAAACACCGACATGTCAGTGCAACCATCTTGAAGTGGATTGCAATTACGATGCGACCTCTGACCCTTGAAGAGCTGGCTTCCGCTATTGAAACTGGTATCGAGCACATGGAAGATAGAATCGCCATCTGTCAGCCACTCCTGAGGCTTAGCAATAACCGAGTCTTATTTGTTCACCAATCGGCTAAGGAGTACCTCCTGAGAAGCCAACCGGACCAGGATACGATCGCCGAGGGCTTTCGTATAGAAGCGAAAGGTTGCCACGGAGAGATTGCCCACAGGTGCTTGCAGATCATCGAAAATAGCTTTTTCCGACACAAACGCATCGACCATGAGACCTTCGAAAGAATGAAAAGAGGCCATGAGGAGCCAAAGATCTCAGGAGTTAGTATGTATCAAGGAAATACTTTAATTACTGGCGAGCTGTTCAGCTACGCCGAACGTTACTGGTTTAGCCATGCCAGACAGTCACCAAAGGATGCCAGTTATCTATTCACCACTAGCAGGCCGTTTTTTAAGAGATTCTCTGTTGTCCGGAAGAACTGGGAAGCTTACAGAGCCGAATCCTCGTGGATACACCGTATGGCGACTTATCTCGGTATGGTACCGTGGCTTTGGGCACTCCGAGGAGAAAAAGTCTTTCTACCTATCATTGGAACCATACAGTTAGTGAAATCGGACAGTGCCCTATATAAACCTGAGACCTATTGGACGTATGCAGTCAACGATGGTCACGAAGAGGTAGTCCGATTTCTCCATAACAATTGTGTTGAATTCGAAGGTGATTTCCTCGTCTGCTGGGAGGTATTGTGGCTTGGTGACGACAAGTTGGTGCAGGCCCTTCTTGAACATGATCTCAAGATAACAGAGGGTTCGTCCAATAGGAATGCTCTCATTTCTGCAACAACCAAAGGCTTCATAGCTGTGGTGCAGCTATTTCTCGACTGTGGCGCGAATGTGACCATCCGAAATGACAACAATGAAACACTCCTGATTCTAGCCGCGAGGTTTGGTCATAAGGACTTGGTTAATATTCTCCTAGACCACGGTGTGCAGTTGAATATTGCAGATTTCCGGTTGTGGCTAAACCAGGCGACCTTGGCTCCAGTGTTCGAATGGTGTACGGAGATTGTGCAGGCATTTCTCCAGCGCCTCACTGACATATGTTGGGCCGGTGAAGATGGGAGGAGGCTCTTGAACCTGGCTGCAAAATGGGCTGATCATGAGATAGTTCAATTATGCTTGGTGGAAGGCGTTGATGTGGATTGGGAAGATCCATATGGCAATACAGCATTGATCGAGGCCATATTAGGGTACCGTGGGCAAACTCCGGCGAAAGAAGGCTGGCCACTAAATGGAAATCCCGTCAATGTCCATGACCCCATAATAATAGCAGAGAGACGAGCATTAGTCGTGGCCTTACTGGACCATGGTGCTGATCCAAACATCGGCGGAGACTTCTACAGCGACTTACGAGTACCGCCGCTCCTTTGTGCAGCTAGGCAAGGCCTCGACTGGGCAGTCGAGGAACTGCTATTCCGAGGCGTTGACTGCAATACGAGGGTCGAGTTTATTTACAGGCGTGGAGCGATAAGGCGTCTTCTTTCTTCTGCGTTTCGAGGCACTCCGATGGACCAAGGTTCCAAGCATATGACAGAAGGTGGGTCGGCTTTAATCTTTGCAGTTCAAGGGGGCCATCTATCGACATCACGGCTTCTGATTGCTCATGGCGCCGACACAAGCCTTGCCGACGAGTGTGGAAATACAGCTTTGGATTGGGCTTCTGAGAATGATTTTCTGGAAATTGAGCAGCTGTTGGTGGAGCACGATGAAGCATTGGGTGGCTCCTCACAGCGAAAAGGAAATTAAAAAGGGTTGAGTTTCCTTGTGATTAGTTGATCGTTAAAGAAGGGTATCAGCTATGTCACATCTCCTCGATGTTATCCGAGTCATCGTGGTCTGGTGGAGGAAGACTTCGATTAACATTCATAACAAGACATCCACTCGCCTTATCAACCAAGATATCCAAGTGCCGATAGCTACCTCCAAATCTCGTCCCGACAATTTTCACCGTCTCCATCAGAGTATCGATCACCCCGACATCCATAGTCGAGCCCTTGTATTCCAGCGGCACCAATGATAGTAAATCTGCCAGCGAGCAGCCAACGTCGAAGACCTTCTCAACGATTCCGATCCCATTTGCTTCAAAAGCCTGCGTCGACACTAATTGTGACACCGTCACGATGTCTCGTGCGATACTGGCTGGGTAGTGCAACGACATGACATTATCACTGTTGGCAGTTGACAGGACTCTTTTTGAAGCGCACAATTTCCAGACGACGATCTTGAGCCATTGACGCGATATGAGAAGGTCTGCTTGTTGCACTTGAGAGTGATTTGAAAGATTCGGAAGTGAATTCTTGAGAAGGTATTGCAATCGGAACAGGTCTGCGAAATCTGTCGAAATGGATGATGATGGGCTGTTCCATTGTGAGATGAAGTCTTGACCAAATGGGCGGAAAAGTGAAATAAGATCAAGGAACCCGCACAGGATCTCAGCGTCGGATGACATTGGATCAACGTCTGGAAGCTTCAATGTATCTTGCAATCTGATTGGTCGATTCCTTTGCAATGCATATGCTCTCTCGGTGATGAACAAGACCCAAAACATCCTCTGACCGTACTTCACAAAGACAGGGTCGCTTGCATCATCATCAGTGTAGGTGGTCTCCTCATGCAAACGTAACGCCTGAAGTATCGTTATAGCTTCCTGCAGATAATACCAAGCCGAATTATCCTTATTCATTGAGAAGAACGCAGCGTGAAGAAAGAAAGACGTTTGTATATGCATTAATGACGGATGTTCGATCAGATTACAAAACTCCCTTGCGCGAAGAGTTTCCGCTATTAAGAAATCGGCAGACGGAATCGTGAAATTTTCCTCGACGGGGCAAGGCGGCAGTATTTCTGGCGACAGTGCGATTACGGCACAACATGCCGTGATTAATCCGTATTGCTCTGTTGATCCTGGTGTTTGTTCGAGGTGAGGGCGATGCAGAATTGGGGTAAGTGGGTATTTATGCTTGAAGTACGCGTCGAGACACCATCGAATAACTGCGTCAGTCATTTGAGGCGACTCTATGAACTGCTTCGGACATGGTGGAGATGCCGTGTTGTTTGAATTGATGCTGGGGATGTTAACCTCAGGGCTGGTGGATGAAAATGTAGTTGGTCCCGGCCGCTGCTTGGACCTCCGTGCATATCGCGGTCCTTTAGGTCCCGTCTTTTTAGGTATCGCCAAATAAGTACAGCTTATATCCAGGCTTTGACAATTGTGACACGGCCGACAGCCATCGCAGCGAATCTTCCGTTTATGGCAGACGTCGCATGCTTGCCTGACTTTTGACGGTTTTGTCGGCGCTGGACTTGACATGGCTCGATTAATTGGAAGCAGTTGCGACAAGGTTTGAAGTTTGCGGGGATTGGGTTTTATATAAATGCGGAGAACAGAGCACTTCGTCATGGCTGCACGCCACTGGATCCACTGAATTTAGCACTAACTGCTCTGGAATCAGCTCACAAAGGCGAGACAAGGTGGATAGCTCTACCCGTGGCAGTAAGAGACATGAGCGAGAGAGCGACTTGATAAAGTGAAGATGAATCATTTAATAAGCTATCATTCTTATGTACTGCAAGACTTTTATTTCCCACATCCCATTTTAACTGCCAAGGTGCAAGCTCCAATTCCCCAACGACCTCCCCAATCACATTCTTCATACCCTGCTAGTCCAATTACTTCTTCTCCACGGCAGGCTTTCGCACAACAGCACCGTCGTTGACAACATACTTGGAGAACTTCCTAGGAGGAACGCCCTCGGCATACAGGCAATCAATGTCATGATAAGTCCTGTTCTTCGTCTCAGGCTGGAACCAGAAGAGTGTAGCCAGAATGAAGACCTCAGCCCCAACAAACAGGAACATGACCTTTCCACCCCAGTTGAGCTGATCGGGGTTGATGAAGTAGGGGAACACGGAAGACAGCATAAGAGCAGTGAGCTGCTGGCAAACAAGACTGAAAGCAATAGTCTTGGGACGTGTAGCCTGAGCAGCGGTTTCTTGAGCGATAGCCCATCCGAAGCAGCCAACTGTACCGGTGTAAAGCATCGACCAAGTGATCATGAAGGCGAGGAGAGCGGTGTTGGCGGCTGTGTTGGAAGTACCTGCGAGGGAGGTTCCGGCGATTATGATGGACCAGCAGCAGAGAAGTGTACCGCCTCCGATGAGGGACTTTCGACGGGGGAGAACATCGGAGACGCAGACGGCGACGCAGTTAGAAAGGAATTGGAGAGTTGAGGAAATAGCTGTGAGGCCGAAGGGGTCGGATTGGCCGATGAGTTCGAAGTAGTAGGTCTGGTAAGTGTCTGCAACAATTAGTACTTCAGTCGATAGGAACAGTAGCCTGTGACTTACTGGCAAAGTATCCACCGGAGAAGTTCTGAGACTGAAGTCCCATAACAGCAATGAGGGTTCTGGTTCGGTGCTCCTTGGAGAAGATGGCCTTCCAGCTGGTCTGCTTAGCCATGTTGGTCTCACCAGCAGTGACCTCGAGTTCAGACTTGATGAACTCGAGTCTTTCCTCAACATCAATAGATGTACCATAAAGCTTAAAGATAGCCTTTCGAGCATCGTCGTCGCGGCCCTTCTTGATGTACCAAACAGGTGACTCGGGAAGGAAAGGAAGACCAATGGCGAAGAGAGTAGGGACGAGGAATGTCATGACAAAAGCAAGTCGGAAGCTCCATTCACCCTTGATCTTGGAAGAACCCCAGCCAGTGACGGAGGAGAGGAAAAAGCCCAGAACGATGATCACGTTGGTGAGGGAGCTGAGAGAGCTTCGAAGAGCAGCCGGTGCGTTCTCTGTGACGTACAGAGGAGGCGTGACAGTTGAGAGACCAACGGAAAGGCCGAGAAGAAGCTTGGAGACGAAAAGGATAGGCAGACTAGGAGCAAAGACCAGCGAGAAAGAAGACGAAATAGATAGAGCGACAGCAGTCCAAAGTACAGCCTTGCGCCCAACCCAATCCGCAAACTGACCCGCTAGAAATGCACCAAAGATCTGACCAATCGTACTAGCAGCGTTCCAAAGAGACTGCCACAGCGCCGGGATGACATACTGATCACCAACGCTGTAATACTCTCCGTAGACCTTTCGGAACTCGGGAAATGCAACAGCTACACCGGAGAGACCAGCGTCGTAGCCCCAGCCAAAGACTAGGGACATGATGTAGATGGACCATAGGACGAAGCGCTTGTCTTTCTTGAGGTTTGTCCAGAGGCGCTGGTACTGTTGCTTGGGTGTGAGGTCTTGGGCATCAATAGCTTTTTGGATGGCGATGGAGTCTGGTGCCTTTTCGACATGGTCGGACACTGTGGTGATGGCTTCGACTTTGGTGGCCATTGTGAGGAGGTGAAGGGGGTGATTGAGGTTGTGATGATGAGCTGGTTACTCCGGGGGCATGCCCTTAGGATTATATATTAATTCATGACTATTAGACTTAGGGATTATCCCCAGAGACGCTCGACATTCCCCGATGGATGGAGCCCCCATGGGGAACCGCGAGAGCGAAAAGTCGCCCCATCTCATCGGCCGAGAAGAACTCAGCATGTCACCATCATCACAACCCGGATCGAGATAGTGGGTCGATGGGTGAAATGGGTGAATTTCCATTGGTCTCTTCGGCTTTGGAGAAAAACAGGACCGTGCGTCTGGAGAAAATGATTATTGGGTAAATTGTCGGTCCGATGCACTTGGTGCCCATCTTGAGTCTCGGGTAAGTCATCAACAAATCACAATTCAGCCTTCAGAGTTTCACCCCAGAGAGAAAAGGCACGAGATCGACGTGGAGAAGACAAGTCATGAAATCACTCGATCCTTCTCTCTTTGATGTTACATGAGAATTATTGAACAGAAGAATTGTCGGACCGGGAAGTAGTCATCGGGTATAAGAAACCTCAGACACGAGGTAACAGTCTCGACATCACAACATCACATACAGTCCAATATCTGAGACCCCGCCGCCATGTCAGCTTCAACCTCTCCCGATCGCCAATGGTGGAAAGAAGCAGTTGTCTACCAAATCTACCCAGCCAGCTTTCTTGACTCCAACGGCGACGGGCTAGGCGACTTGCCTGGCATCATCTCAAAGCTTGACTACATTCGCTCAGTAGGCGCCACAGCTATTTGGCTGTCGCCCATCTTTAAAAGTCCTCAGCATGATATGGGCTATGACGTCTCAGACTATCGCGAAATTCATCGTCCTTACGGTACGATTGAAGATGTTGAGGCGTTGATCTCTGGGTGTCATGAGCGGGGTATAAAGGTGCTACTCGACCTCGTGGTGAATCATACTAGCCATGAGCATGAATGGTTCAAAGAGTCACGTTCGTCAAAAACCTCACCGAAGCGAGATTGGTATTTCTGGCGTGATCCAAAGTTTGACGCTGATGGAAATCGCAAACCACCTAATAACTGGGCTTCCATCTTTGGTGGTAGTGCCTGGACATACGATGAGACGACAGAGCAATATTATCTCTCCCTCTTCCTCCCCGAGCAGCCTGATCTCAACTGGGCAAATGACGACATGCGCGAGGCAACATATGACGATATGAAGTTCTGGCTCGACAAAGGCGCCGACGGCTTCCGCATTGATTCGATGAATCTTATGTCAAAACACCCCGATCTTCCTGATGCACCTATTACCCGACCAGACGCCGAGTTCCAACCAGGCGATAAGTACTTCGCTAGTGGTCCGCGTATGCACGAGTATATAAGGGAGATGAGGGAGAAGGTCATTGATAAGTACGATTGCATGACTGTTGGTGAACTAGGCTTCACAAAGGATGAAGACAGTGTCGCTAGTTATGTTGCCAAAGACAGGCATGAGTTGAATATGCTGTTCACTGGAGATATAGTTGATATGGACTTTGGTCCCAATCACAAGTATGAACGCGATGACTTCAGGTTGTCTAAGCTGAAGACAATCACGAGTCGTTGGCAAGGAGCTATGCCAAAGTTTGACGGCTGGAACTCTGTGTATATGGATAACCACGACTCTGGACGATCTCTATCACGCTATGGATCGGACAAGCCCCAGTTCCGAAAGGAGGCTGCCAAGATGTTGGCGATTTACCTCGGTACACTAAGTGGAACGCTGTTTCTCCTCCAAGGTCAAGAAATTGGCATGGCTAATGTGCCTGAGTCGTGGAAGATCGAGGATTATATTGATGTCGAGGGTTTGAACTATTACAACAGCGTGCTGAAGAAGAGAGACCCTGGAGCTGATATGTCCGACGTCATGAGAGAAATGCGACTCAAGGCCAGAGATAACGGTCGGTTACCTATGCAATGGACCGCCGACACTAACGGAGGCTTCACCACCAGCGACAAGCCCTGGATGCGCGTCAACGACGACTACGATCAGTGGAACGTTGCTCAGCAAGAAAAGGACGATGATAGTGTTTTAGCTTTCTACAGACAGGTTCTTGAGCTACGACAGAAGGAGAAGGATGTTTTTGTGTATGGACGGTTTGACATTTTGGATGAGTACAAGGATAGTGAGGATGTGTTTGCGTATACGATGACTAGTTATGATGGGAGGAGGGCACTCATTTTATTGAATTTCTCGGAGGAGGAGCAGAAGGTGAAGGTCAAGGGGGATTGGGGGAGGAGGTTGCTTGGGAAGAATGTTGATGCTTTTGAGGGTGCGGTTGTGCTGAAGGGCTATGAGGGAGTGGTGTATGCTGGGTGGTGATCTGGTCTTTGACGTAGGCAAACATACTCTTGCAAATGTGTATTAGCCATGAATTCTTTCATACGTGGCTTTATCAATCGAAGAAATTGAAATATGGCTATCTCTGTACATGGCTTAGTTTTTCACATATCATTTAAGATCAAAAATAGCTTATAACAAGGGTTCCTACTGCTGCTCCGTGTGGCCAAGTCTCGCCGAATATCGCAACAAACAACTATAACCATTCAGACACTGGACTGTTGAACCTTCTTCGACACATAAGGTCTCGTATCCGCTGGCAGTCCCATAGCAATAAGGCCAATGGCCAAGAAACAAGCACACGCAACCCAAATCGGCGCCGAGGTCGTAACATCCGCAAAAGTCGCAATGAACGGCGCACTCAGCGATGCCATCCTTCCAACTGCCATAAGCAACCCCATACCCACCCCGCGATTCTGCACCTGAAGGACCTGCGGCGTGTACGAGTAAACGATAGCATACAGAGCATTGAGCGAAAAGTTGATCATGCAAGAGAATGCGAGGTTTTCCGCTGCCGTTCGAGCTGAGGTGAAGGCTCCGGAGAATGCGGCGCAGATTATACCGGTGAGGAGCATTGAGCGCTTGGACTTGAAGAAGCAGGATGATACGAGGATGGTACTGAGGACGGGGCCGAAGATACCGACGATGGAGGAGACGGTCCAGTCGCGGTAGGTGATGTAGTTGCTGGTTTCGCCAAAGTTGGCGCCGTGGGCTGCGAGGTAGTAGGGGAGGAAGATGGTGTAGAGAGGGTACCTATGATTTATTAGTGACTTGCGAGAGATTGTATAGACATGGACTTACGCGATGCCGATGAGTGCCCAGATCATGATGAGACCAATCATCAGCCGTATCTGCTTAGCTCCAGAGAATAGCCTTGACGCCCGAACAATATTCGCACGCCATGACCTAACCTCACCATCAGCCTTCTCCTGCTCAGGCTGCAGGAAGTTATCGCCAGTGACATGATAATCAGACTTGTTCATCCTGCTGATGTGGTTTATAACCTCCGCAGCCTCTTCCATCTTTCCACAAGAGACGAGCCATCTTGGAGACTCGAGTGATCGTAGGACGAAAGCTCGGATGAGTGACATGACGAGACAGAGTCCACCGAGAGTGATGTAAAGGTATCGCCAGCCCATATTATCGCTGCGGCTGCAGGTTTCGGGGGTGGAGCCGCTGGGACATCCGAAGTTGACGAGAAGGGGCCAGGCTGTGCAGTGTCAGTGAATGTGATGTTGGTGCGTATGGGGTATTACCGATGAGGCCTGTGACTGCATTTCCAAAGCCCCAGATTCCTGCGAGACTTGAGAGGATGAAAGACCATTCTTGGGGAATTGCTTCCGCCAGAAGTGTCAAGTCGATGGCCACTGTAGGAGTCAAGAGTCAGCGAGTATCACCAACCCGACCAAGGAAGGTCTTGATGCAGCTCAGTTGGGAGCTTTTAGATAACTCACGGTTTCCACCAGCAAAGAGACCAATCAAAGCAATAAAGACATTCAGAGCAGCCCAATTCGGAGAAGAGGCAGCAATGGTAGTCATGATAGAGCACCCAAAGATAGAAGCCTGCCAGACTAATCGTCGGCCAAAGTTATCGGCGAGTGTGCCAAGAAACAAAGCACCGATGAGTAAGCCAGCGTATGAAGACGCCGATAGAAGAGTTGCATATCGAGGGCCGAATTCCATGGCTGCCTGGGGCGTAACAAGGCTGATCGAGACAAGAACCATCTGGTGACAAGTTAGTCCAAGGGCTTGGTGATGGAGAAAGTGGTGTTGACCTGATCGACAAGGAAGCCGAAACCACAGGAGAAGGTTAGCTGCCATTGGAACTTGCCGAAGCCAATGGCTTGGATCGCCTGAGTAATCACTTCGTCGTTATGAAGAGTCGCAGGATCGATACCGTCGATAGCTGCAACAGTCCCGTTGGCATGGCTTGGGGCGTGGTCGAGAGATGTCTCCAACATCTTGCCATCCTGCTTCTCACCAATGGATGCTGCATCCGCGTTGTCCTGATGAGCCGCCATAATAACTGTTTGAAAGGGAAAATGAAGAGAAATGAATAACAAGGTCAAACAGGGAAGTTTGGCTTGTGATCTTGAAAGCCGGTGGGGACTACGATGCAAAGACGTGATTTATCTACAAACTCCTTTCTAATCCCAACCCTTCCATTCGCGCCAGCCTCACCTCTCACTATCAACACACTAACAAGATAATCAAGCCAACCTTTCCTATTCCATCGCAAGTTGCAAGCCTCCGGAGAACGGACCGCCTTCACCCTCTATCTAAGATAAGCTTCCAAGCCAAAAGGTGAGCAGCTGATCCCTATCAACCCCGCAAACACGGAAGCGGCCCGTGTTCCTGGCCAACTCCTATCACCAGCGAACGCGGGGTAGCGTATCTTAACTTATATGGTAAGACGAGTACTGAGTGTTGGCGTATCCTGGGTAGATCGGCTAACTTCACCATGATGAGTTCAAGCGTTGAATGTTACCTTGTTCCCCGGACGGAGGATGCGCCTAACAGCCGACTTCCGATCCTTGTGTACCGCGATGTGTTACCCCAGCCGAGGACCGAAGAGACGGCAACGAGATTCCTGACTACACATCGGTGGGAAAAGAGGGTGTGTTCAAACTGTTTCCTTTTGCCTCCCTTGTGTTACTGACACGTTGCTCAGGGAACTTGGGGACATATTGCCATTCGCCACTTCCATCCCAACAGCCATGAATGCTACGGTCAATATCCCCAATCATATCTCTACATGCGGCATACTTATTACAAATCCTAGGTATTTTCCAAGGCTCTTCAACCCTCTTATTAGGCAAGATCCAGAAGGGTAAAGGCGTAGAAGTCCCCGTCAAGGCTGGCGATGTTGTCGTCCTACCCGCTGGAACGGCCCATTCATCCCTCGAAAGCTCTTCGGATTACAGGTACATCGGTGTATATCCAAAGGTGTGTTGTACCTTGTCTAACTTCTGTGACAAAGTGTTGATAATGTGTAGGGGTGTCCCAAGTGGCGGAATGAGATGGGAAAGAAGTCCTCAAACGTGTTTCTGGAGACTATCGACGAAGTAGGTATGCCTGAAGACGATCCTGTTTATGGGCCTGATGGACCATTGCCCATGCTATGGAGGCAAAATCCTCGCGCCAAGTTGTAGATAGCAAGATAATACAGTATCTGTTGACGATAACACAAGTGACACGTAATTGAAAGGGCTCTGTGGTTTTACCATCGCTGACCACGATGCATTGGTTAGCGTTGCCCTTTGCGTTTACTTTTACATATCCCTGATGCAGTCTCTTATATTCAAGAGGAAAGCCCGTATCGTAGAGGGCTAGCTCTGGCTCTTTTCATAACTGAAGACATCGCCACTTGAGAAGCCATCGAATTTGGTATGTTCTTATCTGAACTTCAGAAAATATCCACTTCCCTACATTGGCACTGGAATCCAAGCTGCTTGAACCACAGCTTCTCGTTAAAAAATTTATTCTTCTTCTAAACTGGTACAGTAATGCAAGCCACGGCAGTATGTTTGTCGGCATCTGCAGGCGTAGTCGTTTGCAAGACATTCTTCCATGCCAAGTCGCCACTATTTTTGGCTATCTCCTCTGAGCGCCCATCTGGAAAGCAGGACTCAGGCAGAGGGCTGCTCTCCCACAAATAGAAGCTCAAGTCAGAGTCCTTCTTTGGCAGCGTTGTCATCGCCTCAATCATATCCTGCTTTGTTGCGCCCAATGGATCAAGTCCAGGCTCTTCAATCCATGACAGTCCATGACCCCAGTAGCTGTACCTCTCTGATTCATGGGTCCATTCATAATCCTCCCAGCGATCTTCGGAGAGGACCTGGATGTAATGCAATGAGCTGCCTGGCCAGAGTCCAGTTACCTTTCCGTTTGTGCCCTGTTTATCTGTAAGATGGTCAGCTAGCTGATAGCAGGCGATCCCCGGATGACTTACACCAACTACGACACGTTCCTGTCCACACCATGTCTTGCATGACCTTCTGTGTGTGAGTGTTGAAGTCATCTTGGGCATCAACTCGCACTTCAAACGAATTGACACGTTGTCGAATCATCTTGTGAAGAAGACGAATGAAGTAGTCGGCGGTCGCTTCCACAGAACCTTCAGAGGTCAGCATAACAATTATCAATGGCGATAACACAGTTACTTACCCATCAAGCTTCCATTTGAGATCGGAGTGTTCGGTCCCAAGAAAATGAGATAATTGGGAAAGCCTGCAACACCGAGCCCCAGATAGGATTCAGGGTGCTCTTGCCATGCATCTTGAAGGTTGGTACCATTGCGACCGATTATAGGAAAACGAGGTCGGAAGGTTGTGTTGAAGCCTGTAGCTGCAACCAAAACATCTGCTGGATATTCTTTGCCACCGGCCACGATGCCACCACGGGTCACTCTTTCGATCGAGTCGAATACTGGCTCAACATTCGGCTTCTGCAGGGCTGTAAGAAAGCCTTCTCCCGGGTTGATCCTTCGACAACCCGCCTCGAATGGGGGTATCAGCTTCTTCTGTAGGTCTTGGTCAGGGATCAATTGTTTCATGCGCGACTCGAACATGGCGCGTGTTCTCTTCTGTTCCGGACTCGACTTGAGAAAGAGGCGGAACATCCCGTTAAATTGATCCTCCAATCCCTTCCTGGTATCCAGATACACATCCTTTTTTGCCTCGAAGATTGCCTTCTCTTCTGTAGTATAAGTGTAGTTCGTCGCATTAGGGTCGGGCAGAGCTACTGGTGGTGCAATCCATGAAGGCGTGCGGATAAATACTTTCATGTCCTTGACCAGTGGCTGTATCGAGGGGACTAACTGAATCGAACTGGCTCCCGCACCAATGACGCCGACACGTTTACCTCGGAGGTCAATTGAATGGTCCCAGGATGCAGTGTGCAGTAATGGACCAGTAAAGTCGGAAAGTCCTTCAATGTTGGGAATTTGTGGATGATTGAGGATGCCGCCAGCATTGACCAGAATTTCTGATGTCACAAGGGAGCCATCTTCTAACTGTACCGTCCAGGTACTGTCGGTTTCAGACCATTGAGCTGAGACAACCTTGGTGTTGAAGGATATGTATCGCTCGAGATTGAAGTGCCTGGCAACACCTTTTAAGTAACCCTGGATTTCATCAGATGATGCGTAGCTAGTCTAATTAGCACTGAACACTGATTCGGCTGCTGGCCACTAACAATTTCGACCATGAAGGGTTTGGGGCAAATGAATATTGGTAGCAATGGCTCGGGACGTCACAGGCGCAGCCGGGATACTTGTTTTCAAACCATGTTCCTCCAAGATCTGACGACTTTTCGAATATCTGAAAAGCGACGTAGTCATTCAAATGTTGCTTTAGCTTGTATGCTTGATTTTGTCAGCGTAGTCCTTCGGCGAAAGTCATGGCTAAGAAATTACCCATCAGAATACCGGATACCCTTATTGGAAGCATCAGCCAAAGTCATTCCTGCAAGGGTACAAGTTCTACTTACCCGGCTCCGATAATGGTGCATCGGATATGCTTATGCTTTTGCTGTTGTTTTGTGGACATGATGACAGTGGTTTCGAGGATGCAAAATAAAATTTACTAGACAAGTGAACTTTCCAGGTGCAACTAGTATAATAAATCTTCAAAATAATAACTGTAATATCATTAACATTGGATATAACCAGTGTTAGCTGCTCTCTCCAGAAGCCACTGCTTATCATGACACCTCACAAGGACACACACAAAGCCGGGAACGGTCCGGGTCTGGGTGGGTACGGAGAATGATAACTGAAACGCTAGATAAAAATGGTTTAGCGTTGAGATAAAGCCGTATCACACGGTCTGATGCTGTGGGTACGGAAACCGGGCCGTGATTCTGACTTGGAATGTGAGAAATCGTGATTAGAGCTACTCTCATTGGTTGAAAGGTAAGTGTGCTAAGTCGAAGTAGGGAGCGATTGATGGATGAATGAAGAGTGTGGAGTAAGAAATGAATGACGGGTCATCCCAGAGAAAGACGTATCATGCACGAGCAATGGAAGGGTATAAGGGCGGGACTAGAGGCTTGCATTCATAGACGAATCTTATCATACACGACGGATTAGTCTACTTACCATCCAAGCTTCGCATCTTTTCTATCAATTGTTCTTCAATCCTAGGATCGGTCGTTATCTCAAGCCACAATGAGTCGTTGGTTTAGTTTCGGTACAGCGAAAGAGGCTGAGCCTCAGACTACGCGGGCGTTGCCTGCATCATGGTATCGCTCCTCAGCCATGTATGAGCTGGAACGACGAGCTATTTTTTCCAAGAAATGGGTAGTGGTATCACACAAGGCGCGATTCACCGAAGTGGGCGATTATCTGCGTATCACTCAAGCTGGTTTTGCCTTTTTCTTGATCAAGGACCGCCAAGGCGAGATCAGAGCCCATCACAATGTCTGTCGACATCGAGCATTTCCGCTGGTGGAGCAAGATTCAGGGAGAGCCAACATTCTATCTTGCAAGTATCACGGTAGGTTGATATATCGGGTGTACGTGGGCTAGATGCTGAACAGTCAAAGGTTGGTCCTATGGACTCGATGGCAAATTGGCCAAGGCTCCAAAATACCAAGAGGTTCCGACATTCGATAAGTCAACCAACAATCTCTACCCAATCCATGTCTATGTCGACAAACTCGGTTTTATCTGGATTAATATGGATGCCAGTCCTACACCTATTGTTGCTTGGGACGATGACTTTGCTGGCGTCGACACCCAACCACGCCTTCAGCCGTTCGACATGGGGTCTTATCACTTTGATCATCAGTGGGAAATGATTGGGGACTATAACTGGAAGACGTTAGCAGACAATTACAACGAAGTGAGTTCTTTGAAACCTTCCCATTTAACTGCCGCTGAGACAACGTTATCAGTGCTACCACTGTCCAACTGGACATCCCGCACTCAATGCCCTCACTGATCTGTCGAAATACTGGGTCGAGACAGCTGGCGGCCACATACAGCACTTCAACGTTGACAAGCCAGATAAAGATGGTATGGGTATCTACAGTACTTTCTACTATCCCAATGCCTCTATCACGATCTCGTAAGAATATCTATCTCCCGAGTTACAATCTAGCCCTAACGTTCAGACCCACCTTCTTCTACATCATGCGCTGCATCCCCATTTCCGCATCGCAGGCAAAGATGGAGTACGAAGTCTACAGAGCCAATAGTGCTTCCGACAAAGAGTTCAACGAGATCAGCGACTGCTTTAAGCAGATCCTCAAGGAAGACAAGGATCTCTGCAATGCGGCACAGAAGAACTTGAACGCTGGTATCTTTGTCAACGGGGAGCTTCATCCACGAGTAGAAAAGGTATGAACAACCTACAATGTCATTGTTAGCGTACTAATAAGTCCTTCTACCAGGGCCCTATTTTCTTCCAAGAGACTACACGAAAGCTAGTCATGGACCATCATAAGCAGGAAGAGGCTGATGGTCATGAGATCTGGCCAGCGACACCGAAGAGTGGACAGTCAGGGAATGGACAGAACGATATTGACTTCTGTAACAGACTAGAGGCATGTGCAGGGTCTGACAGTCTCAAGTGGTGATACTAAGTATGTAGCTATCAGTAAACTTGTAAAAAGAATTCAATAGCAAGTCCCACTACTTTACAGCATTGTGTTTCCCCAATCAAGGCTCAACCACTCATCAATAGCCCTCCCAAAGTCGTGCACTTGCGGAAATATGTTATCAGGTTCCATAGCAGATCCGAACCCCTCTTGGATATTCTGTTGTAGAGATCCTAGCAATCCCGAAGCATCAGATGGGACACGGCCTCTTATTGGGTGGCTAACCTCACCCTCACCAGGAGCATAGAGAGGCGTGTCCTTTGGCACGGTCTTGTGCCCGATGATCCCAGCTGAGCCGACCAAATCATATGCATCGCCGTCTTCGTTACTGCCTCTTGCCGTGTCCTGGTGGGTTGATGCCAGGCCGTTGTAAATGGATTCGTCGGCGCGTGCATCCGGTCTACCAGCATGCTCATAGGACAGAATATCCCAAAGAAGTCTCGTATCGATCGTGAACTTTTGCTGTGTTTGTCTTCCCAGACCAGGCTCTTCGCTGGCTAGTGGCACAACCTGTATGCTCTGCTGCAGTTTTCGTAGATTTTCATGCTTCATCCCTAATTAGTACTCCGTTTTGTCACTACAGTCCCGAAGCTACTCACCATGATAGCAACGCCATGCCATGTCAGACCCACGCATCTCAAGAACTCGAGACACTTCTCAAATCCAGCCTTCGCCTTCTCACGCAACGCAAATTCTTCCACAAAACTGTGCTGCAGATGAATGGTGGCAACTACTACAACAATATGGGCCAAGGTCGGGTCAGATACTCGATAGTCCATTTTCTCCAATACGTCAAGATGATACATGATCCATCCAATATGTCGGGTAATCGCGTCGAAAGAGCTGTTGACAAATGACTGGGGCATAGTGTGTCGAAAGTGTCGTAGTCGCATCGACAAGAGAAATGGGTGATTGAGAATAACAGGAATGGAAGCATAGACGAATTGGGTGAACAGGTAGGGACCCCAATACCCTCTGTTTTGTTGCAGAGTTTCAGGTGTCTGCTTATCAATCTGGTTAGCAGAGAATCGGTATTTGAGTGGTACGCTACAGTCGATCTCAAGGTGTCGATATGTAACCTGGGAATAGTCGGAGCGCGGATTCCATGGGGGCAATGTGTCTGAGAAAACACGACGGGAAGCGTATGATCGGACTGCGCGCCAAGCTTGAGCAAGAGGGATGGTATATTTCATGATCCCTCGGTCCATGTCGCATTGTAAGGACTTCTCTGGCGGAAGTAACCACGCCGTGCAGGTTGCTGTTCCGAGTGACGAGTCCTCACCGTGTGACATGGCAGTGGGCCATACACTTGAAGAAACACTGCCCTGTAAGTGATGAAGCACAAAGATACTTCGAATACAGTTGTTAAATTCCACAGCGTCACCGAGGAAGCTACCCTTCGGAACGCCGCTCAGTAGCTGAATCGCTGTACTGAGATATAGCCCTGCTTGGACAGTATTTCCTTCTAGATCTAAAGTCAGCTATAGTTAGAACATTACAGATTGATGACATACCTGCATGTTCGAAAAGGATGAGGAGACATAGTGTTTGTAAAACAGAACAATCAACCCGGCCACCGAAGACTTTGTTCATCACGATTTCCCTCGAGGCTTGTGCCATGGCATGAAGACGTTGTCGATACTGTTGACTCAATAACCGAGGAGGAAACCGAAGACATAATGCTTGCAGTGCCAAGACCAGCTCTGTCTCTCTACGTGGTAGCGACTCGGTAAACGTTTCAGCGTTGAAGAGGACCAAGGGTTGCCGATGAAGCCAGGTCAGATAAAGAGAGGCTAGTTCATCACTTCTGGGCTCGACGAGTGATGACGGTCTGGAGTCCTGCGTCAGCTACATTCAAAAAGGAATGAAAGAGCTGCTTACCCTGACGCTTGTCCTACGTCTAAGATTTCACTGGTATAAGGTAGCTCATCTTGACCGACCATGGATCTCGGTGTATGTCCTCCTTCCTGGTGTGACGCGGAGCGGCGGCGTGAATCATTGATCACAGGACTGAGATACATGTGTTAAATTCAGATCATTAACTTGAAGCCCGGCGTATCACTTACTCAAGGCGATCGATAAACAGGTCCAATTTCTCTTCTAGGGTTTCCATCCGAAGCTCCTGCAAGCAACGCATGTCAGCCACTGGCGGATTCTGCCACCAATTATATACGCACCAATGATCTATCCGAGCGAGCTCGTTGACCTTGGCCATCAGAGCCTGATTCATACACGCATATCTGACCGAGACGTTCGCAGTATGAGCACACAGGCTTCTCCCCAGGGCACTTGGACTTCTTACGACTGTGACTATTATTAGCACTGGGATTACCTAGCTGGTATTGGAAACGAACCGACATGGCTCGCAGGCTTGTCGTGCGCGTTTCGTTGGTCGAGAGTCATCCATTTTAATATCAGCTGATGCAACTGAACTACAGTTGATGAAGGTTTGGGGGACGCGGGGAATGGGTTATATGCGTGCTAGTCTGCTAACGGAAAACTAGGCGACTCGGTTATCGCTGGGACAGCTTATCTGACAGCGACGGACAACTCCGGGCCAATCACAGTCCTTGGGGCTCACTGTGTATTGTGCAGAACACGAGTATAACCACTGTCATTTGCTACAAATGAGCTACTACACTGAACATCACCAGTAGCTTTGATTAGTTTCCGCCGTGCGACTGAGCTTCAATGCTTGTTCTTGGACATTCCGTTCCGCTGACTCACCGGCCTCTGCATGTTCGACCTGGATAATCGCATTTTCCCAGTGTTTCTGTAAACTCGGACATCAGGAACACGGAATACTCTTTTCTGGCACTGGTACTGCTTGTGACGGCGTGGGCTCACTTAATTCTTCAATACTTAAAACGCTCAAACCTCTCGAAGGAATTCTCTTTATCGGTCACCGAGAAAGATTGCACAGCGCTTGCACTAGCCATCATCAACTGAATCTCACCACTTTCTACTCTCTACGCAGCCCGAAGTCTGCACTTTCAAAGAACATTCAACTCTGATAAGCCATAGAGACAGAAGATAACCTCCCTCCTACTCTCCGTCCCTGAGCTTACACCTTGAACCACATAGTCGTCCCTTGATCACCAGGCCCCGGACACGACCGTTACTATGCAGAGTCTTCCCCCGTCTGACATACGTCTCCCAGCCGAGATAGTGGTGATGGTTTGCTCTTGTCTAGGGAAACAAGACCAGCTTAACTCAAGATTGGTGTCTGGCAAGCTTCATTACGCGGCAACAATTCAAGCCTTTAGATCCATCAGGCTCAAGCCTGACGGCGATTCGCCTTTGCAATTTAGACAAATTGCATTGTCAGATAAACTGCGAGGTTTCGTCAAAGAGGTGACGATCGATACGGAGCTGGATCCAGGCGTTCCGTTCCATTCCGAAGCCGAGGACTTCTCTATTTGCCAAAATTTCCTTGAGTTTCTTCCCTACCTAGGCATGTTCAACAATCTCAAGCATCTACATATTCGATTCAGCCGATCGTCTAATCCACGAAGCAACAACATAGAGGAGAGTTTACACTACCGGTACTTGGTCTTGGACATTATTTCGCATTGCGTGGTCGGGATGTGGACACTGGGATATCGAAAAACGGTCTATGGTGCAATGCTACCGCCTGCGAGCAGCCATATGTTCAGATATAAACATGATACGCCAGTCCTACTGGGAGCCTCGCTACAGATCAAAGAACTTACCATTTCACATCTCGTCGGCTACAATGATCCCAGACTGATCCATTCCAAGGCCTGGAACATGCTACTCCGGTTGCCAACCATCATCGATCTGAAACTGCTGATGGGAGAAAATCACCCCGAAAACGGAACCGATCTCTCTGCTGGGAGGTCCGAATTCTTCAGTGCTTTGCCGTCAAAGTGGCTCCAACCTGATGTAGTCCAGAAACTACAAGTATTGTCACTGTTCTATACAGACTTCTGGGGCTGGTTCCCGAGAATGGACCTGGACCAACTTGGCGACTTGCCATCCCTTAGGGTTCTGGCCCTTGGGCGCTATATCTTTACCGATAAGAAACAGACAGACTGGATCGCGTTTCTGGGGCAGAACAATAAGAGCGGAGGGCTTGAAGAGCTTTATATTGACGAGTGTTGCATCATGTTTCAAGCTCACCAGCGTGGGCCTTTGGCAGCTGGTGGTTATCCAATTCTAGCCGCTGACATAGAACGTACCGAATACGACATACGATGGCATCACGTGCTGTCAGAATGGAGGATGAGTATGAAAGGCCTCAAGAAATTTGCCATGGGAGTTGGAGACTTTGGTTGTCCCGTTCGCACCATCGTGCCTTTTTTCCCATGGGGTCCGTTCAGTGCGGCCATGATCGTGGCAGGCGACCCTCCACAGTGGTATTTCGGGCACAATCGCCACAGATTCTTTGCAGATCCTGGACCAGAAGACTTTGTCGTACGCCTCTTCGACGCCTATCAGTCACGTCGCCAGAGCTCGAGGGCGGTGCCAATGGGGAACTACTTGCTGGGCGCGGGATTGACACAGAGTCGGAGAGCACGGATGCGATACGCTTCGTATGACGTTCGCTCGCCATATGGTTGGTTTATGGGCAATCAGTTTACGAACGGGGGCTATGATCGTGCTTGGGCACCTGAGCAAGAAACTGTCGAGTTTGACGATGCTGCTTACGCATTGCTTATGGAGACTATCCGAGATAGACTAAGATCTTAGAATGTGGGATGGCCGATCTGGAGATGCAACCTTAAAGGCTATTCTAGAAATGGACAGCCCCTTTCTATAGCATGGCTAGCATGTGAGTCTAGAACGTCTTGCAACATCAGCCGCAGAACAGATAGATGAATGATTTCTAAGATTCCTGGCAAGTTGAACTTGTGCACTTATTATTGATGACAGTGAATGACTTTATATAAGAGCTGGACGGCAAAGTATTTCATAGACAATAAAGAATATGAAATGGAATTCAACTAGTGAAGCTCGCTTAGAATCAACATACCCCAAAAGGATTGGTATGCTCTCACTTGAGTAACTAACTGCCGACGCTAACTCCTCCGCAAACTCTAATACCCCGCCAACTCCCCCGTAAACCATCTCGTTCGGGTTCATCCCGCCGATGGTAATTAGATTACCAGATGATCCCCCTCACTAATCCTTGCTGTTTACTTGCCGATGGCTCTACCGAAACATTACGGGCGCTGGATCTCATAGCTTATTGCAGATAAAGGAGTGAGCTAGCTGAAATAAGTCATCCGAGGTTTTTGGAGACGTTGGAGATGGAATCATCGATGCTGTGGTGATGGATAGGACTATGAAATGAGTTTAGATAAATAGAGACTGGTTGCTTGTCGAGTTTGCTAGGAATCAGAATATTGAGAATTACACCCGCACAAGTCTAACCCTTGCAACACCGCAAGAATGCCTACTCAAGAGGTAAGCACCATCTTCACTCCAAACCACCTCCCCTAACTTCAACAGGCACGCGAAACCATCCAGGATGAACTTCACATCGAAGTCCTCCCCGGAACGGAGATCATGACAGACGTTGGCAAAGAACACTACGTCCGTGCCAAAGAGTCCGATCAAGTCCTCGTTCCCCAACCATCCCAGGATCCTCACGATCCCCTCAACTGGTCGCCGTTCTGGAAGTTCTCTGCCATCTTTTGCGTTTCGACCATGACGTTCACTCAGGGTTTTGCACCGCTTGCTCTTGCGCCTATGTTTCCGGATTTGATTCGTGCTTATGATAGTACCCTTGAGGATGTCATTCAGTTCACGGGCGTTACTATCTTGATCTTGGGATTTAGTAACTTTTTCTGGTAAGCATGGAGTACTGAGGAATGAATATTTGTAGCTCACAGTTATAGGGCGCCCATTTCTACCTCTTTCGGCCGTCGACCTGTCTATATCGCTTCGCAGGTGATCTGCCTCGCATGCCACATCATTCGGGCTAAGGCATCCACCTACGGCATCTTCATGGGAGCCTGTGTGTACGTTAACCTCCACAAATCTGCCAAACCCTTGACTGACATCTTCAGCCTCAACGGAATCGGAGCCGGACCCTCAGAGATTCTCCAACCCGCCGTCATCGCCGATATCTTCTTCCTCCACGATCGCGGAACATGGAACGCATTATACTGGGTTGTGTACATGGGCTCACTGATGATCGCGCCAATCATCGCTGGACCCATGGCAGACCGCACTGGATGGCAGAACTTCTGGTGGCTCAATGTCGCTGTCACTGCACTGTCTATCGTACTCGGCATCTTTGGCTTTCCTGAGACAAAGTGGACACGCAATGATTCGATTGAGGCTGAGCGTGGAGTTAATGAGATTGTTGATACAACTCAGGACAAACCTTCGCACTCCCATGCCGATGCTGAGAAGACTGTTGGTACACCTCAAGCCCAGGGTGAACCAGCCTCGGACGCGCATTTGGGCAAAGGAACTCCCTCAAAGTTACAGTGGCGCTTGTTCCAGCCCAACTCAGCACCCCTTCAAAACATCCTTCTCGATATTTGGACCCCATGGAGACTCTTCGTCTATCCCATTGTACTCTTTGCTTCCTTCGTGGTCAGCTGGAGTTGCAGTAACTTCCTGATTCTGAACCTCACGCAATCGCAAGTATTTGCAGCTCCCCCATACAACATGAGCTCCCAGTCCATCGGTTAGCTTTCCAAATTACTCAACGAGAGCCCAGGTACTAACGTGTCCAGGCTTCCTCAATTTCTCCATCCTCGTCGGTGCTTTGATCGGACTCGTCACAGCTGGCCCCTTCAGCGATTGGGTCTCTGCAAAAGCAACCACGAGAAATGGTGGTATTCGAGAACCGGAAATGCGACTCCCTGCAATGATTCCCTATATCATCATCATGATCTTCGGCAATGTGATTACCTCAATCGGATACGAAAGGCACTGGCCATGGCCAGTCATTGCCGTCCTCGGCTACTCATCAGCTGGCATTCAGGTCGCTGCCCTCCCAAGTATCGCGAGTACCTATGCAGTGGATTGCTATAAGCCAGTCACCGGGTCACTTTTCGTTGCTATTACTGTTAACAAGAGTCTTTGGGGATATGGCATGGGCAAGTTCGTCACGCCATGGACTATCAAGTCAGGGTAAGCCATCTTGTGTACTATCTTTTCAATGTCCGTTGCTAACAGCTTCTTCAGATTTATCCCTGTTTTCATGACCAACATGGGCCTTACGGTTCTGTGGTGCGGCTTGGGTGCGGTATTCTACTTCTATGGCAAGACGTTCAGAAGGTGGACTAAGGACAGCAATGTTCACGGTTTTTAGTGTTATCCAGATTGTCTGGCTATCTGTACTCGTTGCTTGGCCACGCAATAGATCGTCAAGGCTCAGAGACCTGCTCACTGCTCTGTCACATAGCTATCATATACTGTCATTTCAACTTGCTTATCATGCTCGCTGTCGTTCCCAACCAGATATCGTATTGGTCTGTAACTAATGAGGCATCGACATAAACAAGCTCGCCGCATCAAAGTCTATCGACGACATGTCGAGGTTCTGATCCAACTCTCCATCAAGTAGATTCAGTGGTCCCCAGTAGTGATTCAAGTAGACCATTCCATCAGGCCAGGACGTCCCTGGATTCGCGGCTACCTCAACCTGGGACGACTTCTGTATAGCCTTTTCTCTCGCTCCCTGCAACAACTTCGCCGCTTGTAGCGCAACGACGCATTCGTCCATGATCATGAGTATCTCGATCGCCATATCTACTAGACGAAGTAAAGGTTGCATTTCGCTCTCGACTGCGTCTTGGGTCATGTATACCAGTATTATACTCGCGGCGAAAACAGTGTATGTAGTATTGTAGAACCTTTGACTTGTTAGAGAGGTCGCCTTCTGCGAGGGTGATGTTACGTACCATGTTCGGAAGAAGTCGCTGTGTTGGTAAGTCTGATATATAGTTTCAATTGTTTGTTTTGCTGATTCAAGGCACTTTTGAATGCCGACTTTTGTGTCACTCATAGTCGCCCTCTCCTGTGCCGTTGACCTCAATAGAAAGGACCCGAAGAGGAGGATCCTCAGGTTATGATATCCTACATCCATCGTTAGCATTGCGTGTCGGAATCGCATCGGAGTAAACATACGCAAGTTTAGTACAAGTCTCTGCCGTTTCACCCATTGAACATCCCTGACCCCTCTCAAAGACGGTACCTGAGTAGACGATCCCATCGGTCGTATAGCCTCAGGGAGCTTCTGTGTCCACGCCTCCAGGTCCCTCTCAATTTGACTAGCCATCGCCACCATCATCGGTATCGTGGTTTCGGGGAGGTAAATGCTCAGGCAGATGTTTCTTGTGATTTTGGAGAAATGCACCATGTGCTCGATGATGGCGCAACAAGGATGCTCAGACATCTCAGAGTCAATCCCGGTTGCGTTTTGACCGTTACTGATACGTGGGAATCGTCGGTTATGGTATAGATCCGCTCCTAGAGTATCCGGTCTCCCCATTGCGAAAGACATTTCACTTCAGCAGTGTTAGATCGGCGACAACGGAATGACTGCATGTCAGGAGATACTCACGTCTCTAAGGAGTAAAGGCCCCTAGTGAAAAGTTTAGCAATCGATCTATATCTCCAACTCAAGGACAGTTTTGACATACCACCAAGTCCGTGTCTCTGCTCTCAATAAAGAAGGTGGCTTCTTGCTATTGGGTCCCGGCTCACGATTTATGCCCATTGCCAGAGCTGTTCTTATGGCAAGGCCAACATACATGTATGACACTGGTACTTGTTAGTCGATCTCCATCATAGACATACATGTCTGACTGACAGTGTGGATGCAGTTCGTTCTGGCAGACTTTGGCCTGTGGTCGTTAGTTCCGTTCAGCAGAGCTTCACGGCGCAACCTACCAGGATGAAATAGCACTGGACCATATCAAGGTCCGTGACCATCCCAAGCCTATTACAGCAGTCTTTAGCTCTATTAAAGAACTTCCGACTCCAGGCCAGATTAGTCATTCCATCGATAAGCTCATCCTCCCTCGTCCCAACCAATGCCCCAATAGACAAGATGCTGTAGTACAAAGCGACGAAACTCGTGATCCTTTTGTTTTCTGGCCCTTCACCTGCCCACAACGACTCGCAGCGTTGCACGAATGAAGTCTTGTCTAAGATCGGGTGAATGTAGTGGATCGCGGAGAAGAAACCGTCTATAAAGTTGCGGCATTGTAGATACCAAGGTGAGTGATCAGACTCCTCGGTACTCTTTCTTCCCCGCTGGGTATCTTGTGATCCACTTGGGTCAAAGTGAGGGTTATGCAACGAGGATAAAAGTGCACCCGCGTCATCATCATCGTTGTCCTCCTCGCCAGTTCGCCGAACATGCGACAACAGTGCAACTGATGAAGAACTGCCATAGAACTCGACGTCTCTTGTGTGAGTATTCATTCCGGAGACTTCTTGTTCCCTAGTATGCCACGATGAGATGCTATTCGGCGTAGGAAAGGCTTCCATCACTGTTGGATGCTGAGCTATTGGCAACGATGAGGCATTCATCGCTATCCCTTCGGGACTATTGCTTGGTCCATCGGTTGCTGCCTTCTCATAGTTCTCCACAATGCTAGAGAGGCTCTTGACCTGATCTTCCAATTGTCTTACATAGCTATAGTTGCACTAGTGAGCCAAAAGCAAAGCTGAGATGCCGCAGGCAGCTATTACCTTGATGTCATGCGCATGCGCGACATGTCCTGGCCTTTGTACACACATTCGACATTTCGGCCTTCAAAGAGTCAGTCATGATGTGCTATGTGAGCTTCAGACACTAACTTTGGCAATATGAACAGGGATAAGACTCGTCGCACTTGTATTTCTTGGACCGACAGAGATCGCACGCGCGCGCAGCTCGTGGTCGCCGTGCACGCTGCGCTGTAGGTCTGTTCGCCTGAGGGATCTGGGGGTCTGTTAATTCATCCATCACGACAGTATCAGTATCTGGAAATTAGCGAACATGCACAAGACCCCAGAATATCGAAGCTTTGAGACCAGAGTGCGGAGACCCCAGATGGACGGAAATTTCGAGCTCGGAGGCAAATCTGGGGTAACGCGAACGACGAGCTGGGCGAAAGTGATCTGGATCTTGTCTCGAAGGTTTCATTGGCTGACAAGGTTTCTCCCTAAACTGAACATGGCTAGTGTCAAGATTCTCAAGCTGCGGAAAAGCCGGGCACGGCCAATGTAACCTCGGCTGTTCCGAGCGAGCTGCGAACTACCCTACATCCACTAAATTCCGATGGTCATTTCCATATATGTAGTAACGCGGCAAAGCTACCGGCTTGGTCTCTTAATTTCTCCTCTAACACGAGACTTATAGTTGGTGATCATATCTCTATCAAAATGCCAAGTTCCACTGTAAGTAATCAAAGCACCTAGTGTTGATCCAGCTAATTGTTCATCTTGACAGCAACCCAGCCAAGTTGACAATGATGTCCATCTGAATGTGATCGTTGTCGGAGCCGGCCTTGCGGGTCTGGCCGCAGCGATCTCCATTTCTCTTTCAGGACACAATGTCACTGTTTTAGAGTCGGCAAAAGAACTGCTCGAGGTATGTAACTCCGCTATGCCACATACCTACAGAACTCATAACTGATGCATTATTCAGGTCGGCGCTGGTCTACAAGTCACCCCCAACTGCACACGCATCCTCCAAAAATGGGATCTCCCCGACAGACTCTGGAAATTAGCCGCCGAACCCACGTCCCTCGTCGTCCATAGATACTCCGGCCGAACCCTCGCTATAGAACCCGATTTCCACAAGCATATTCGCAAGAAGTACGGGGCCCCCTTCATCGATCTCCACCGCGTAGACCTTCAGCTTGCGCTCTACGACAAGGCGAAGGAACTGGGCGTCCAGTTTAAGCTCGGAGATAGGGTAAAGGACATTGACTTTAGTATTCCTGAAGTCAGCACCGAGGCTGGGGCTAAGTACACCGGTGACTTGATTGTTGCAGCGGACGGACTCTGGTCTAAATGCCGGTCCAAGTTTCTTGGCAGTGAAGATAAACCCATGCCTACTGGAGACCTAGCATACCGCGTTGTTCTTGACGCGAAGGATATCGAGGATCCTGAGCTGCGCGAGTGGGTTGAACGCCCAACGGTGCACTTCTGGATCGGTCCAGGTGCTCATGCTGTTGGGTATTCCATGCGTGGGGGACAGATGTATAACGTTGTTCTTCTTGTTCCCGATGATCTTCCATCGGACGTCAGTCGACAGGCCGGATCAGTGGAGGAGATGCGAGAATTGTTTAATGACTGGGATCCCATTCTAGCAAGGTTTCTGAGTCAGGTCGACAAGGTTGATAAGTGGAAGCTGATGCACAGTAAGTTACCCACCCGCGTCACTATCCTCGGAGCTGACAGCGTTTTTAGGAGAAGAGCTTGATTCATGGATTAATGACGACTCAAACTTTGTCTTCGTGTAAGTGATTCTACAAATGATGTCACACGATGCATCCTGCTAATACCTGGCTTCCAGTGGTGATGCCTGCCATCCGATGCTCCCATACCTAGCCCAAGGTGCCAACTCCGCAGTGGAGGACGGTGCAGTTCTGGGTCTACTTCTCGGCCACGTCAAGTCCAAGCATCAACTACCACAGGCCTTGTCTATGTATGAGAGGTTACGCAAGTCTCGCGGAGAAGCCATCGTGAGAGAAACCTTCAAACAGGTATGGATTCCACATCCCTGGGGATAGTTCACAGTTTTGACTAACGTATCGTAGCGAGAATCATTCCATATGCCTGACGGACCCGCTCAAGAGGCGCGTGATGAGACTTTCTTATCTCAACTTGGCGCTGAGGAACTCAAGGGTCCGTTCCCAAGCAGGTGGACTTGCCCACAGGTTCAGCCTTGGCTGTATGGGTATGATGCATTTGAGGTTGTTGAAGATGCAGTGAAGCGTGAACCTTTCGCGCGATAGCTTGCCAAGGCTGTGTGGAATATTCAGAGTGTCTTATCATGTTAGCAATCGTTCCGTTTCCAAAGGGGAGGACTTTTAAGTTGCAAATATAAAACGATGAATTCAGGCATGAGATTCGGAGGGAGAAACTTATATGAACATATAAATCATGAAAGCCGCTTCATGCCAAACAGCATACTCATCGACTAAATGTTGGCTAGATGGATCTCATTGAAATACGAGAAGCTTCGATTATCAAACAGCACCCTAGCCTTTGGCAGGGCACTATTCCCAAACAGTAAAATTATCATGATCTACTTAATCAACGACTCGAGAAAGTCAAAGCCCTGTCTCTGAAGATTCCAAGTGACAGACCCCACTTCCATCTTGGCCGCAAAAGTATGCTCCTCCCCAGGAACCTCTACCATCCCGCACTCAACACCGTTCTGCTTCAGCACATCAAGCAACTTTCTACTCAGATGAACCGGGACTTTTGTATCTGCATCCCCATGCACGATGAAAGTCGGAGGAAACGAGGAGTCGACGTTCAATGCAGGGTCGACTTTGCTCCAGTCTTTCGAAGGAAAGATAGCGTCGAGGACGGTGCCGTTGGCTAGTTGTGTCAGAGCATATGCTTGGCGGGGGTCGCTGAAATCTGGAGGTCCTGTTGCCTGGCCTTCGAGGGAGACGCCTCCAGTGATGGGGACCGGATCTTCGTCGAATACTTTGTTGAGGAACGAGTCTGTGAGTCCAGGTGGTAGCTTCATGCCCTCAAGCCTTGTGGTCCAGAAGTCATCCGCAAAGTTGCTAGGCCCATACATGTCGTAAATTCCTGCGACCGGGCGAGGAACATCAAAGCCCTATCTCAGCGTAAGCCTCGTATACTACAGTTCTCTATCAGCGCAACTTACCAAGCAGAGTGACAAATGCCCACCAGATGAGGTGCCGAATGCAAAGACATGGTCGAGATCTGGTACGAGTGCCGAGCTTGCTTTGCCCAGAGCTGTTTCGAGACCTCCGTCATACACCCAAGCGAGTAAATCTCGACAGTCTCGCATCGGACCCTCCAAAAGATTCACTTGGGGACAAAGCCGATGATTTGGAGCAAGCACTATCCATCCTCGACTAAGACAGTCTGATACCTGGTCTTTGTTGACCATCTTGGAGGACCCGAGCATAAAAGCCCCTCCATGGATGTTGATTACTTCATGATTATCAGTATATATCCAGAGGCAGTCAAATGTTTTGACTTACAGACTGGACATTTTGTAGTTTTATTAGTGACGGAAGGCAGGTAAACATCAACATCAATCTCTTGTTCACCCAGCTGCTTGTAAACAGCTCGAAACGAAGTTGGTGGGCTCATTTTCTGTCTGAGGCCAAAAGAGCTGTAGCTCAATAAAGCGTAAGTCAAGATCTGGCATCCATCAAAGTAATCTGTCAAAAGACCTTGCCTGCCTCAGTTCCGATACACTTCTGTAAACCAAAGGTTCCGGTCGTGCCGTGGACCCCGTGTCGGAATTGCGGCTTTTCCGCACTTCAAGCCCAGCTTCGTCAGCGGCCAAAGTTAGTTTGAGGGGTAGCCATGGAAAGTCCGGGGCGGATGCGGGGTTCTCCAGCGCCTCCGACCCGTGATGTGGAGATCGGAAAGTGGGAGGTCGAAGGAGTAGAAGAGTAAAGGGTCCTGCTAATGATCCAGCATACCTACACAAGCCTACCAATTCATCAATTCTTGGCACTTTTCTCCAAGTACTCACCATCACTACCAAAAATTACACTATCCCTAAACAACATGAGCGTTCCCCTACATACTTCTCCTCCCAATGAGAGGACAAGCTACATGATTGACCAGCTCGAAGGAGAGCGCGTTAGCATTCCTGGCAGCAAGGGTGTTTTCAGAATCCTTGCGTCGTCGAAGCAGACCAATGGTGGCATGGCTGTGTTTACTAGTGGTGCTGTCTTAGCAGATGCCCCTGGCTTTCACTGGCATGAGGAAGCTCATGATGTCTTTCTTGTCACTAAGGGATTCTTGAAGCTGTGGAGTGGTGATGAGTGTCGAATCATGGGCCCCGGTGACTTTGCTTATATCCCTCCTGTAAGCCCCAAACCTTGTCTAACAATTTGATCTGCCGACTAATACGAGGATAGCATGTTATCCACAACCCTCTCCTACTCGGACCTCACACTGAGACCGTGGGTCTGGTAGCACCAGGTGACTGGGTCGACTTCTTTAGATATGTCGGCGAGACATACAATGGCATTCTTGTGCCGGAGACTGATGATCGCGACATCAAGTCGATGCTCATGCAGAAAATGATGGCGGCCAAGGACCGTTTCGACGTTCACTTCAAGCGTGACTATCAGCCTCCAGAGGTTGGCGAGTGGCTTGACTCTGAGAACCAACTCGCTGGCCCTGGCGAGGCTTACTTCTTGCGCGCCAATACTGGACCGCGATGGCTTCTGGGAGGTGTTATGTCAAGACCTTTCATTCTTGCATCACAATCCGGTGGCAAGTTCTCAATGTCGAGTATTGAGTCATCGAATGTCTACAAAAAGTCGCCTTTGAGCAAGTGGCTTACCTTTACTTCTATCGATCATTGCTTCATCGTTCAAGAAGGTCTGCTCAGAGTGAAGATCAAGTCTGGGGATAGTAGTTCTTGGAGTGAAGTCAGAGAGGGTCAGACGGTGGTCATTGCTGCGGGAGAGACTTTCACTATGGACTTTGGTAGTAAATATGTCCGTGTCTGGACTTTCGCCAATGGAAGAGGAATTGAGGAGCTGGTTCAGAATGCTGGATCGCCGGCTACAGGCTTCGTGCTACCTGATGAGGTTGGAGACTGGGAGGAGTCCAGACTGCTGGATGTGTGTAAAGACCTTGGGGTGGATGTTGCAGACCTCTAAATAATTATCATAACCAATACATTGCATTGCATAATCTATTCCTCTTATCAGTTTGAGATTTCCCTGAGTTGTGTTTCGAATTTGATACGAGGAGCTGAGCTTTGCCCTCATCTCGTCTCGGCCGCGGGGAAGCATGCTATCCATATTACCTGTGCATATTAGCGTTACGACTGCCTACAGTAACTCAAAGGTTGAAACATTGGCGGGTTTGTAAAATTTTCAACATAAAATAGTGAAGGGTTGGTTCAATTGACAGAAATCTATTCGCTTATATCTGGTCTAAATAACAACAGTGACACGTTGATCTCCAACCTCCACGCCATACTCGCCCTTATCCTCTACCCAAGCATGCGAATCCTCACTCCAATGGCTGTTGAAAGTGTCGACCTCAATCTGCACAGACACTTCTTTAGTCTCACCTGGCGAGAGTTGAACCTTGATGAATCCCTTCAGCTCCCGAATTGGCCTCCAATGAGCTCCGTTCTTAGGGGCGCTAGTGTAGACTTGCACCACTTCTTTGCCAGCAACGCTGCCAGTGTTCGATACATTTACGCTGACTGTGAGAGTTGAAGGGGTTGAAGAGGCGTCCAGTTTGGCTTGGAGACTGTCATACGAGAATGAAGTGTAAGACAGCCCATGGCCAAAGGGAAACTGAATCCGGTTCTCCGATACCCGGGCTCGGTATCCGATCTTTAAGCCCTCAGCATATTTGATGGTGAAGCCACCTGCCTCATCCTTCTGAGCTGGGAAGTTCCCAAAACTGGGCCAGTCTTCCAGAGTCTTGAACCAAGTCGCCGTCAATTTCCCACTGGGGTTCACCTTTCCAGTCAAGATATCAACCATAGCCTGCGGTCCCTCTTGACCAGGGAAATGCATGTTCACGATAGCATCGACATCATCAACGAAGCTACTGATATCAATGGGGTTACCGCAGTGTAGAAGAACAGCCGTTTTCTTCGAAGCAGCGGCGACAGCCTTGATCATGGCGACTTGGTTGGCAGGAAGAGTGATCTCCTCAAGATCAAACCCCTCAGACTCATACTGTTCGCTGCGGCCGGCGTAAATGATTGTGATATCAGATGACTTTGCGACTTCGACTGCTTCGGATATAGCTTGATCTTGGGAGTATTCCTCTTCGAAGGCCAGGGTGAGACCATATGGAGTAGGTTCGCCAACAACAGGCTCTCTTGATTGCATGGTGACAGAGATGTGGTATGATTTTCCTGCTTCCATCTGCAGCTCGACTCGCGACTCGAGCTTGATCAAGTTGAAGAGGAACTGCTCGGTTGTGATATCTGGCGCATCACCCTTGAGCACAGAGGCGCCGTCAACCTCAACATTAAATGAACCCGAGTGACGAAGCGCAAGTGTGTGAGTTCCAGTAGTCGTAGGAACCAGATTGGTGGTCATCTTCACATGAGAGCCAGGCGTCTTCAGCCCCGGCTTGCCTTGGCCCATCAGATTGATGGCAGCATGTTGCAAAGTCTCGGTGAGAACGGGTTCATCTTCACCAGCGTTGTAATAAGCCACTTCAACGCCCTTCTTGCCCTCGTTCGTCGTGACGATGTCAGCAGGTACGGTCGGAATAATACGTCGCATGCGAACACCACTTGCATATGAGACTGTTTTCTCATCTGGCAGTGCTTCCCGTAAAAGGTCGAGCGGAACCTGGCGATATTGAGGATTGCATGATGCACTGCCACCGCCGGTAAAAACAGCCTTCTTAGCATACTCACCAATGACTCCGACCCTCAGACCACTAGATGATGGCAGCGGAAGAGTTTGGTTCTCATTCTTCAAAAGAACGATACCTTCTTGGGCGAGTTGACGAGCGATCTCATTCGTCTCTGGGATGATCTCAGATTTCTCTGGTCCTTCGCTCTGTGCTGCTTGCGTACGGTTTCGTAGGTCGAGAAGCCGCGAGACACTGGCATTGATGACCTCTTCGCTGACTCCACCAGAGTTTACAGCCTTGATGAGCCTCTCGCCTCTGAAGACAGGAACGGGCATCTCAACGTCGACGCCAGCCTTCATGGAAGCTGCGGTAGAGCGAGTGCCGAACCAGTCTGACATGACGATGCCTTTGTAGCCCCATTCCTTTCGAAGAATGTCCTCAATAAGAGTTTCGCTGTCGCAGCAAAACGCTCCATCGACCTTGTTGTATCTTCCCGAGATATTAGTAAAGATCAGAACAAGATGGGGGATACTCACGCTGTCATGATTCCAGTAGGATTTGACTTCTTCAAGAGAAATGACCAAGCAGCGAGATAAATCTCCCTCAATGCCCGTCCATTCGGCGACTCGTCGACATTGTAATACCGCCTTTGAGTCTCAGAGTCATTGCAAACAAAATGCTTCGCACAAGCTCCATAGCCTTTGCCCTGGATACCGTTCACAATAGCCGCAGCCATATATCCTGAGAGTAGCGGATCTTCACTGAAGCACTCAAAGTTGCGTCCAGCTCGAGGATCCCTCTGGATATTGATAGTCGGCCCAAGGATCATCTGCGCATGCTTGATCTTTGCCTGGCGAGTGAGCTCAGCGCCCATCTTCTCCAAGAGCTCGGTGTTCCATGTTGAGGCTATGCAGGCTGTGTTGGGGAAGCAGGCTGTTGTGAGTGAACTGTTGAATTCACTGGGGCGTATTCCGTTGATTGAGTCAGCCGTCTAGCGAGCGTATTAGTAACCACTACTGGAGAGTGAAGTCTGTGACACACCTTGAATGGCGCAATACCCTTCTCAGGGATGCCTGCGATTGAGACAAAGTCATCTGGCGTACCGGACAGTAGCCTGACCTTTTCTTCTAGGGACAAGGTCAGGAGTGTAGCGTGAATATCCATCTTTTCCAAGACCAACGTGATCGTATTTACTATGTGCGCTCTTGTGCAATCTGGTGCTGGAAATATGTATATAAGGTAGCGCATCACAGGCAGACTAGCGCCCATGCCGTTGTAAAAAGCCGAGTCCAGGCGTGTTCCACAGCAGCGTCGTGGCGCCCGGGTTTTCCGGATTGTCGCTGATCCACAATATTATTTTCAATCATGTGGATTCGGATGCTGTAAGCTTGTTGCCTTCACCACGTAATTCGTGCGCTTGCTGTCGACTGTATTAGCGGATAGTTATGGCTTCAGAAAGACTATTCACGAATGATGATAGGGAAATGATACAGTTGAAAGTGTAACGGGGTCTGGAGACAGTCAAAACTGAGTTGGCCAAGATGGTATGGCAGTGGGCGGAGAATCTGTTGTGATCAATTTGCAAAACCGATAGAAATTATATTATCTCCATATCAACACTACTTCAAGTTGTCTTTTGACAGCTTTACAGATACCTCTGTTCCAGAGCCTTGAATAACACCATCATTCTCCAAACTCCAGCCATTCGGAGCCTTAACTACGGCAGTACTACCATGAGGCACTGATAGCTTAATGATACCTTGCCCCTGCTTCTCTTCTATATGTACTACCACTAAAAGTGACCCTTGAGGAGTCTCGAGTGAATATGCCACCTCTTCCAAGCCTGCAAAAACAGGCTCGACGCCAATCCTCTTCCAACCCGCCTCAAGAGGATAGACGCCGGCAAGATATCTTGGTAGCAAAAAGACCGGCCATGAAGACCATCCATGAGCCAGCGACACGTCATGATTGAAAGGTGAACCGTCAGTTCTCATGGCCTCCCAGTGAGCGCCAGAGTAGTTCGGATTATCCTGGTCAGCCATGATGCCCCATACCTGAGATAGTAGCTCTTTTGCCTTCGTGCCTTCGTTCTTGACGAAGAGAGCTTCTAGTGCAAAGCCAGATGCGTAGGGACTGGTAAGTCCAAACTTGTCCCATTTTCCGAGGCCTCGGAATGCAGAGGGCAGGGTTTCACTGGCAGGGAATATGCCCTCTACCAACTCTGGATGGTCTGGTGATACACCTAGAGTCGCGGCGTATGCGTTGACATCTTGGAAGACGCCGTCGGGGTCTAGAGACAGAGCAGGACGCATGATGCCTCGATCATCATTCCAAAGCGTACTGATCAATGACCTTTTCAGATTGGCTGCTTGTGAGGAATATTGAGATGCAGCCTCACTGTCCATGGACATTGATGCCATGGCGTTAAGGGCATCCAAATATGCAAGATTCAGACCGGTTGAAACACCGAAAACAGGCCCGCCCATAGGAAACCATGTCACTGTTCACTATCAGTACATAACAAAGTTAATGATTGAAATGACATACTCGAGAGATACGGTGGTGCTTGCACCAGCCCATCAGAGTTCAAGAACTGTCTTGTGAACTCCATTTGTCGTTCAAGCTGGTCATATGACTTCTCCACAACAGACCAATCGCCTGAGTGCAGCCAGTAGTCCTTAATTGAGACGACCAGTAGCAGCGCATATGTCAGACTGTAGTGGCCATAGTGCGGCGGGTCGTCTGCGATATCGTGCTCCGGAGCCTGGATGGGACACAGGTTGCCAAGATACCCTTCCTTAGTCTGATGACTGAGCAGAAGCTGGATAGTTCCCTTCCACGCCTCAAAGTCAGCAGTGGAGTATGCAATCGACCGGCCGGTGACGAAGGCATCACCACCAAAGGAGGCTCTGTCTCGTTTGGCTCCGTCGATGATACAGGCGAGTTTATTGGTTCCAACCTGGAAGTCATCAAATGTGCGACTAGCATCAGGTTCCAACAGCGAGTTCTCATAGAGAATATGTGCATCGTGATCTGTAACTGATAGATCTCGGTAGAGAGCAATCCAGCCAGGTGGTCCACCAAAGGCAACAGAACCAGTGTTGACAAGCCCATTTCCAAGCATCGCCTTCACATAGATGTCTCTGATATTGGCGACCTCATTGCCTTCAATACTGACTGTAACACGATCTTCCGCCGCGAGAGTCTCAATGTTCAACCAGCCAGAAAAGTCGAGACTCTCAGGAAGCAGCCATGACCCTCTTTCAATTGAAGGCAGGATAGATGATTTGTTCGACAACCCCTCAACAGCAGTCAACGTTCTGCTCCTTGCATCCAAGCAGAATATCAGACCGTTGGTGATCATGCGAACAGCCCAACTCGCACCATTCTCTTCAACCTTTGTCTGAAACGTGACTTTGTAGTCTTTCCATCTCGTTCCCTGTCGACAAGGAGCCCAGTGGCTTCCGTAAACACGAGTACCCTCAGCAGTAACATCCCACGCTGGAACCGTCTCTCCACGAGCAACGGTGCATAGGTCAACAGTCCGAACACCGTCATTCCAAATACGATTGATGGTCTCATCGGAGCAGTGAAAGTTGGCTGTTACTGGAGCATCAGGGCGCACTGCTTGGAAGCCAACTTGGGAGAACGTGATGCTCGATTTTGAGTCGAGTAGAGTTATCTTTTGGTACCTCTGGGAGGCTTGAGTGAATCGAGGCTTAATGGTTCGAGTATCGTTGGTGACTGTGGCGTGGTGCTGGCAGACTCGATAGCTGTCCATCGCGTTGGAGAATAAGAAGAATGGGCCATCGCCTGTGATAGTCAGCATTGGCACACTAGTGAAAACTTAGCGTAAGTAACTGTACCATTCTCGTTACCGATTCCCTCTATAGTCTCACTGTAGGTGACCTGGAACGCGACGTGTTTCTGTCCTTCGGGCGCTGATGCAGACTCAATGGTAAAGATGGGAAAGCCGCCCTCACAACGGCCATAGTCAAGGATGACTTCAGCCTTGTCCTCGGAGTCACCATTGCTCAAGGAAAAGGACGATACCTCATTCTGGCTTGTCACATTTCCTGCAGTCCGCAAGATTCGCTTTGGCGTGATGAACTTGGGTGCATTGCGGGTCTCCCGTGAATTCTCCATGTTGACTTGCCGGACTCTGATGGCGCTGCAGGATTACCCAGAGCACACAATTACTTGTTAGAGGTCACCTTAGGCTTAACACAAGCTCAAATAAGAAAAGTCTGCGTGATTCATTCGGTTTGTGATACCACGAGCGTGACAAATTACCCCGACGACCGAGTGAGATCGGGGAATCCTAGTGTCCCCGGAAAACCCGACCACATCCCCAGATTACCCCACAAGACAAGAGTCCAGACCTCTGGGGTACCACCAAAGCAAATCTCCATCTCCAACCAGTCTGCATCTCCAGTCGGGCATATTAAAGGGGCGCTTCAGTCCAGGGTTTTTCGTATTCCCATCTCAACATCCACAATCTCTACAGTGGACTATTCAACATCACCACTTCTTTTCTTTTCTTTTCCTGCCAAGATGACCACTCAGGACTTTGATCATGATGCGAGGCTTGAGAAGGCTGAGGTTGCGCATGCTGAGGATGCTGTTGCTGTGAGGGATCATGAGATGACGACTTGGGAGTGCGCGAAGAAGAACCCAAAGGCGATCCTTTGGGCTGTTTATGCAAACCGTGAGTCTCTAACAAGCACTCAGATTCGTAATGATTAGTTCTAATTTGACGAATAGTCGGAGCTACTCTTGTTGGTTACGAGAACCTCGCTCTGGCCGTTTGTCTCGCCCTCCCAGCATTCCAGTACGTTCAACTCCCTCACAAACCATCCTACATACTAACGCGACTATAGGATGAAGTTCGCCAGCCTCGTCGACGGAAACCTCATCATCCCAGCATACTGGCAATCCCTCTGGAACGCAACCTACAACATCATGCAGCTCTTCGGTTCCCTCGCCGCTGGCTTCGTCCAAGACAAACTCGGTCGACGCGCTGTTTTCCTCGCAGGCGTTATAATCGTGTCTTGTGGTATCGCTTTGGCGTATCTGGCTGAGACACCTGCTCAGTTTATGGGGGCCAAGATAATTTCTGGTTTTGCTGTTGGTGCGTTCCAGTCGACGACGCAGACTTATGTTTCTGAGATTACGCCGCTGCCTTTGCGTGGTATTGCTTTGTCTCTCAACATTCTCATGATGGTATGTCCTGCCTGCTAAATGCCTGGGTGACTTGGCTAACCTATGTGTAGAACGTCGGCTTCTTGATTGCCATCTCCACAACATACGCTCGCGTCACGATCATGAACGAATCCGCCTTCCGAGTCGTCTTCGCCGCTGCGTGGGTCTTCCCCGGCATCCTCGCCCTCGGTCTCCCATTCCTCCCCGAGTCTCCATACTATCTCATCGCCAAGAACAAGCGCGATCTTGCTCTGAAGCACCTCGCCAGACTCTCCTCCAAAGATGAAGATCTTGATGCTCGTATCCGTCACATGGAAGAGACCGTCGAGGCTGAGAAGCTCCTCTCTTGCGAGAAGGCTTCGTTCTTGGAGTGCTTCAAGGGTAGCAACTGGCGCCGCACAAGGATCATTCTGATCTGCATGTACATGCCCCAGATTGTCGGCTCTAGCTTGTCATCCAACGCTCCGTACTTTCTCAGCCAGACTGGGTTGAGCAGTGGTTTGATCATCAAGATTATGCAGATCGGTCTTGGTGTTTCCATCCTGTCCTCACTGGTAAACATCTACATGATGACTCTCTTCCGCCATCGACCATTGATGTTCGTCGGCATGACCATTTGCGGTCTCATCTATCTGATCATGGGCGTCGCAGCTGCTTCTCCTCAGTCCGAGAAGACCAACCTGGCTATCGGTATCTCTATGCAATTCCTTGCTCTTGCTTACGGTCCTGCTATTGGATCGAGTCTCGCTGTGGCCGGTGAAGTGTCTGCTTCCAGATTGCGAGCCAAGTCACAAGGTATTGCCTTCGGATTCCAGGCAATCACCAGCACTGTTTGGGTTACAGTGCTTCCGTACATGTTCAACAAGGATGAAGGCAACATGGGTGGTCATATCGGTTGGGTCTTCCTCGGCATGACGCTGTTGATGATGGTAGCTGTCTTCTTTGATGTTCCGGGCACCAAGGGCAGAACCTTCCATGAACTTGATATCATGTTTGAGAAGAAGATTCCTGCTCGCCATTTCGAGCATTACAAGAGCGACTGATAGGACAGGTGCGATAGGGTACCTTTGGCAGAGTTTTATTCTCTACGTGTGACCTAGCTAGGCTTCTTTAAGATGCTTTACCTGCTATAAGCACATTTTATTTTACCATTCGCATTAGTCCACCTGCACATGTGTTGTCGTGATGGTTTGGGGCATATCATGTCAACTTTTGCTTGACTCGAGAACCTTCCCTCGCTGTCTAAGCTCGCGTCTGATCTCATGAATTGAGCCTGTAGTGCTTAAATTGTGCTTAAACTTCACAAAAGAGCCGATTATAACTCTGTGGTTGCATTGCATGTAAAAATTACGATGCGATTCGTCCATTAACTACAGGGGGGCTGCTTCGTCTAACGCCATGAGCAAGTTTGCGCATATTTCGACCCTCTCATCATGGACTCCAGGATTCTCTTTAGCCTTGGAAATGAACATGGCTTGACTAGATGAGTCGATTTGCGCATGAACCCTTCTATTTTCAGTAGAATTGAATAGTTTATTGCTTTGGAAATGGTACTGATCAATTGGCGGCATGCCACCTCGCTTCAGTTTCATCGTGCGACTCTAGTTTAGCCCTACAAATATCCTCACTTACCCTGCCATTATCATGTTCAAGTTGCGCAGTAGTTTTGAACCTATTGACAGCTAGCACGATGAGACTCCTTCTTGTGCCTCTGCTGTCACTACTGGCCAGCAGCGCCAATGCCTACAAGACAGGCCTCATGGGCTACGGCCAGTCGTGGTACGATCCCCCCTGCGCCTACGGCTGTCGCGCCGTGATCGGCAGTGCACCTCTAGACTGTCCATCAATGGAGCACCACACAGGTACGAGCGAACACTCACACGGGGGCTCGCCACTAGCGCCCTGCATCGCAACCAACGGTGACTTTTTACGCACTCTGGCATACTGTCTGAGCACTCGATGCGCAGATGTTTCGGCCTCTAAGCTTGAAGCATACTGGGCTGGCCAAGCAACTGGAGACAAGACAGTTTCTGCGGAATGGACGTATGGTGCTGCGCTTGCGAATGTGACGGCGCCGCCGAAGAGGACTTATGTCGCGGGCGATACGCTGAACTATACAGCGCTTGTCACAGATGCTGATTATCAGTGTCAGTATGATTTTAATGCCTTCTTTGATTGGGAGGAGGCTGTTCAATCCACCTATGTGTAGGTCTGATCGTTGAATGCCCTGTCCACGGCGTCAACTAATGCCTTCTACGTTTAGAATTGTCTTGATCTCGATTGGTGTAGCAACGCCCGTCTTCTTCTCGGCCCTTGGCTACCTCCCTTTCATGACCCGAGCCATAGATAAGATCAGACCATATCTCGTCTACCCATCAACCTTTCGAGGCTACAACATACGCCCTCTTCCTTACCTTCTTGGGAATGCACCAACGACCGGTCAAGGCCTTTGGATCGCCATGTTTATCATCCTCAATATCGTCCTCGGTACGGTCTCGTACAAGAACTTCCCATATACCCATCGCTGGGGCTTCACCAAGTCCGCCGAGCTACTAGCATACGTCGGCTACCGAACCGGCCATATTTCATTTGCCCTACTACCGCTCACAGTGCTGTTCTCGTCGCGCAACAATATTCTCCTATGGATCACCGACTGGCCTTTCTCAACTTTTCTGGTGCTTCATCGCTGGGTCGCTCGTCTCTGTGCGCTCCATGCGATCGTTCACTCCATCACCCTCCTCGCCGCATACATCAGCCTTGGAACGTACTACACGGACGTGCACAAGCCTTATTGGATTTGGGGTATTGTTGAAACACTATGCCTACTACTTCTTCTAGCCCAGAGCGTTCTTTGGCTACGCCGTGCTTCATACGAAGTCTTCCTCATTCTACATATTGTCCTCACCGTTTTTGTTATCGTTGGCTGTTGGTACCATGTCTACTTCTGGAAGCCATTCTCTGGAGTTTATGAGCTGTGGATATACATGGTGTGCGCCGTGTGGTTCTTTGATCGGCTCTTTCGTGTGCTACGAGTTGCCAAGAACGGTATCCGCCAGGCCAGTGTCGTCGAGCTATCTAATGAGATCGTCCGCCTGGATATTTCTGGTGTCAGATGGTTATCTACCCCAGGTTATCATGCCTATATCTACTTCCCTACACTACAGCCCTTTCTCCCGTGGCAGAATCATCCTTTCTCCATCACCAACACTGCTTTACTACAGGGGACATCTGCAGCAGGATCATCGCATACAGGCGGGGCTGTATTGGAGTTGGAAGTTGATGCCTTCAGTTGGTGAGCCCAACATGCTATGGTTTATCGATGACGTGATCTCAGGGCTAGAAGGGTTTGATGGTGTGTATTCCTTTGACTACATAATTTCTAACCAGTTCAAGCGTCCCTGATCAGTATCACTACTCTCCATCACTTTTGCTTTCCGTAAATCTCTCCTCCGTGCAAGTTGCAACTACGGTCTCAGATCAACTTCAGAATCCAAAGCTGGTCAGTGCGGAGATCGTTAAGGGATCCGTGCGATCCAACAATACGAGTACTTTAAAGGCATTATTATTAGCGCCCTTTGGTGCAATGGTTAAGCACCTAGGCAAGCCCTGCGGTAATGCAGAAGGCAGTGGGTTTGAAACCCGCAAAGGGTATAATTTAACCCTTTTATTAAGGCAGGCCTCTAAAAGTAGCCTAGCATGCCGACTAAGGCTTAGGTAAACTGCCAGTTACTAGGCATAGCTTAACTAGAGGTTATAGGGGGTTTAACTGGCTATATAGCCAATTAGGGACTAGTTATAGTAGATTAAGGTGGTTTAGAGAGCTATAATTAGTTTAGATAAAAAAAAACCCGATTTTCCCTATCTAGGTAGTTAAATAGCTAAAGATAATATATAAGAAATGTGTTAGATCGGATTATGCGGGGTAGATACCCTAGATTAGGCTTAGGTAGCTAATAAGACCCCAATTACATGTATTATTATCAGCTGTGCTTTCTAACATTCACAGAGAAAGGACTACTCACCCGTACTGGGCGCTGCCGCTTTGAAGGGTAACCCAAGTTCCATTCGGGATGTTCTCAATCCTTCACTTTCAGTTAGTATGTTAAGACTTTCATGTTACGTTGACTTACTTGACAATAGTCCCATGAGCGGGAAAGTATCCAACAGGACGAATACACCAGAGCTGATGCCCTCCGAAACCGCTATACTGCCAGCCAACGATCTCAGTACCATCAGATGTGCCTCCATTGTACAGATCCATAGCTCCTATACAACATTCGTTATCGTAGCCATCACATCGGTTAATACAGATACTTACGTCCAGAAGCCCTGACATTTTGAAGTCTGAACTGGGGCTGATCATCAGGACCATGCTGGTACTTGACGCACTTCCACTGCTGGTTCTCATTCAAATGGGCTTGCCATCCGATGCAGGGAGTGCCGTCAGGAGGGTTAGTGAAGCCTAGTTTTAGGTTAGAGGGACGAAGCAGAGTGCCAAGAGGGGCGTACCATCTTTGAGATCGATAGCGGTGCCGGTTGCGAAGTTGACGAAGGCTACGGTCTTGCCTTCGAGATCGTGGGCGTTGATCATGGACATTTTGATGATTCTTCTGGTGATTGACGTAAATATTGTATTGTTTGTGTGATGAGAAGTGTTTGTAATCAGTAGATAGAGAATAAGACATGAGCTTTATACATTTTCCATCCATTCAGTCAGCATGGATAGATCTTCAGAGTCCAGCTGAATGGCGTTGATCATTCTCCTCGCAGACATTTAAGCTAACCACTTGCAAGATTGGTGGAATCTCGGCGAAGGTCAAGGGCTGAGGTCTATCGAATAAGACACTTGAACTGCCGGTTGTAACAAAATTGAGGCCTTCCAATATCTGCAACAAAGCGAAGATAGTCGAAAAGCCCAGGTTCCGCTCATCTGCAATTGGTCATCTAACTTCCCTCAGCTGGCACCAGTCCAGCCCTATTACTAAAACACACGCATGGTAGTATTCCCGCTCGGACTCTGCAGAAATCTCACTGCATGAAGGCACGCCTCAGCTAGCCACAGTTGCCTAGACCCCGCTCAACATCACTTTCACAGTTCGAATAGCCACGGTGAATCATCCTGTACTTTGAAATGCCGGCAGTTGTAATTGCTTTTCTTGGCACATAGCTCTCAAAATCAGTTCGCATTCCCCGTCTCAGCTCGCCCCAATCCACGCCATGTTTGAATGTCCCACTCTCAAAATATACCGGTAGTTCTACCTCTGAAGTATCCCCTCCTTTAATGACTACCCCTCCCAAAGAAACTCCTGCTTAATCCCAGGTATCAACGGCCTCAGCGCCATACCGTAATCTCCTCCATTAGGCGTCCTCATGAGCGTATGAATATGGAACTTTGCAGGTTCATCATTATTCAAAAAGACACCCGAATGGTGATCAAACTCAAATATCACAACCGGGCTCTGGATCCGATAATAAAACGGATCATCATCGCCATACCCTCCAATCCAGCACCAGTAAGTTTCATGGAACCACTTCTTCAGCAGTTCCAGGCGTAGCTTTCTCGCCCTTTGCGGCAAATAAAGAAAGAACTCATTTGCGATACCGAGGATGTATTCCTGCTGCTCGGTTGACATGTCCGACACAAGAATTCCTTCATAGGGAACGATTCTATTATCGCGATAAGCACCACATAGATGGCGTTGATCATCATGATTCCATCGTCCGTGAGGCATGGCGGGATCTTTCATAAGCTTATACACTTGCGATGTCTTTTGCTGCTCTGGTGAAAGACTCTGCATCAGACGCAGCCCGAGGGTTTCTTCCTTGTCCAGAATTCGTGTACCCTTGTAAGGCCCTTCATCAATGAGATTAGGCTCCGCGCCAGTAAACCATGGCGACACCACAATCTGAGTCTTGTAAAGGAAGATATTCAGACACAGATGGTGGCCGTAGAATGAGTAACCCCAAGGCCGAGTTGTCGACGGTTCATCGAAAAGAACGAAATTGTAGGAGAATTCGTTCATGATGGCAGGTGTCTCGACCAGTTCGCCCAAGAAGTGATTAACTCGCATAGCCCCAATGGCTTTTTGGTAACCTTCTGGCGAGAGGGTGAGCTCCAAAACTTTCAGCGCCTTGGATCTCAAATCGTCTGAGAGTTCATCGAGGCGGACTCCTTTATCGCTGAGGAGAAACTCTGGGTTCGACCATGAGCGCCATTCAGGACTATCGATGTGATGGCATGTCTTGAGCACCTGGTCCTGGCTCAGACTGGCGCAGAGGTTACTCGCGGCCTCGACGATAGTGTCGATGGGTATACCGTCATCTTGCAGCTCGAACAGGCCGTCCCTAACAACACCTACGCTGCATTAGTCTCTGTCCACGACAACCCGATCAGCAGAGAAAAATACCGTACCGTCATTTGTGATGCCCTTGTAGGGTTCTTGAAACAAATTGCGCCAGTGCAAGTACAATCCATGAAGCCAAGGCGGTTGACCTTCTTTCTTAAAAATATCGGCGTATTCATACGAGTCCTGCTTCTTCATATTCTGGAAGCGCGGCTGATTTAGATCGGGAAGATACTGGCGAAAGGCCCCATCAGAGCCTGATTGCGAAGCCATGATTGCGAATGTTGATAGCGGGTCTCGAAGTGATCCAAAGCTGGAGTATGAGTTTCTGGGTCAATTTGTAACGACGCGATCCCCTCAAAATGCAACGGATGTATCGTACGTTTCTGGCTTGTAATTCCGTCTTTCTTACGACGACTAGGAGTTGTTGATTGGCTTGCGGCTTTTCCGTTGCATCACCAAATGCGGGGTTGGAGTGGTGAGCGGGATTTCCGGGGGCTCCGATACAGGAGGTCGGCAGATAATAGCGGAGTTATTGAGCATCTTGATTCACTGGGTTGTCAACAGTACAAAGTGATACCGACGAAGGATACACTGAGCCAAGAATCAAGAGATAGGAAATTATTCACCATGGCTTCTTCTGCATTCAAGCGTAGGTCCATCCCCACCAAATGCTTCGGGGCCTGTTCTGTGCTAACAATGAGACAGGCCTTGTGCGCTTCGTTCCCAAATCAGCGCCCTCGAGCATCTTGATCGGAGAGCCAGTGCAAGCCCTTCTTGATGTCGGATTGGCATCTCGTGAGGGCAAAGAAATTGCCGTCAATGTTTTTTCCGGACGATCGGTCTTATCGCCTGGTTCGCGTACTGATCGAACGGAGTCCGTTGAACGGCTGTTGTCACCTTTGGCGCAGGATGAAGTTGGTACTATTCGATGTATCGGATTAAACGTAAGTATATTTGTAACAAGTTGAATAGGACTCAAACTGATTATTTGCAGTACGTTCAGCATGCAAAGGAGGTCAAAATGGATATCCCAATTATCCCCACGCTGTTCCTGTACGTCTGCTCCCATCCTCCACGACCATGGTGCTAACTCATACTTCAGTAAGCCCAATACAGCACTTGGTGACCCGTGGCCAGCTCCTACTCTCCTCCCTAAGATCACTCAAAACGATGGAAGTGGAGACTACGAGTCTGAGTTGGCGGTCGTGATTGGAAAAGCAGCCAAAAACGTTTCTGAAGAGAACGCCATGGATTATGTGCTCGGATTCACAGCCGCCAATGATGTCTCGAGTCGTGTGTCACAACTGAACCAGTCGCAGTGGTGTTTCTCCAAGGGCTTTGATGGAGCTTGTCCTATCGGTAATTTCTGCTGCCTCAGCGTGGCGATAAAAAGCTAATCAGTCATAGGTCCAACTCTTGTGTCGACCTCAGAGATTCCAGATCCTTCCAAGCTTCATATTCGTGGTCTCAAGAATGGCAAGGTCATGCAGGACTGCTCACTAGAGTGCGTATCACTCCGTCCCCACTCTTCCAAGAGTTTGTTAGCTAACATCGCCTAGCGACCTCATCTTCAGCGTTCCCAAGCTGGTCAGCTTCTTATCACAAGGAACAACCCTCCCCGCCGGCACCGTCATTATCACTGGTACACCAGCTGGTGTAGGCATGGGCAGAAACCCCAAGGAGACCCTTTCACATGGCGATGAGTTCAGGGTTGAGATTCTGCCACATATCGGGACGTTGGTCAATATTTTTGAGAACGAGTAGTGACACATTTCACAATAGATACTTACAAATATAAAGACATTATTTATTATACACAATTGGCAAAAAAAGATGAGTTGTGTAGTAGGCTCTTTTCGTATTGTCGTATCATAGTATTTGGGTCTTTCTTGTCTCTCTCGCTCTCGCTCTCTTTTATTTTTATCATATACATTTGATGCTGTTATCTC